ACCTGTAGCGCATTTCGATCGCCGATTTAAAAAAAAATCAAGATTTTTTACTTCTTTCTTGAATCTTCCATAGACTTCCAAAGAGATATATTCTTTTAAATATCTTGAATGGCCTGCCATCTGATATGGTTTCCAAGAACTGTTTGAAGTCTCCTACTGAGGACTTCGTGCAAATTACAGCAAAAATTTGTCTCTGATTGAAATTATGAAGCAAAAATATATAATGTCCTCATATGCATGAGAGGGTTCAGTTGACCATTCATCTCCAAAATATGTATCCAGAGAAATTTTGGTTAACTGTGTGACTAATATTTATTTGAGGTTGTGATTCTATAGTTAAACAATTGTTTCTGAATATTGATTTATTCTATATCTGATATTTCACAAGTAAAATAATTAAAATGCTCAATACAAAAGTTCAGTGTTCAAAACTTTGAAGTGTATTAAGCCACAATATTTAACAGATTTGATTCCGCCATACTATAGCACCAGCTAGAACTATATTATCATAAAAATTAAACCATCTTGGATAGCATTACATAACTTGATATTATAGTTAAAACTTAAATGTAAACCTTTTTCAATTAAACATTTTTTTAAGGTTGAATTGATGTTTTTAAGAGTGTTGGATCTTTTAATAGTAATATTTTGGAATGTTGGGTGGGATAGTTTTGGAAACATTTTGTTAACCGATTTTTTAATTGGTTCATGACATATGCTGTAATCAACAAATCAATGCCATAATTTAGCTAAACATTGATTTATAAGCCTTTTTATTTTATTTTTCGAAAAGGTTTACAACCATATGAATGGAGTGGCTGAACAATTAACTGAAGAAACTTATCATAAAGTTCTCTGACCAAAATTGTGGTTATAAACTTATGCCAGTATTTTGAAGGTATATTCTACCCACGTGCAGCTAAGCTTCCAGATTTAAAGCATAATTTTACTTCCATATTCTGATTTTAACTTTACTTTCAGATGGTTCTAAAAGGGATGACACACTCCAGACTTCGCAGTTACTCCTCTGCACACTAAGAAAAAATAAATTCGTATTGCTCCGTATTTACATCTGAGTGTCATGTAATATTCTTAGCTCTCCAGTATATTTAAACTTAGAATACGAAACAATGGTTCATTTATTTCGATTCAATAAATTGTGTTAAAGCATTCCATTACTTCATTAATCTGTTAACACTTAATTCCAAAAAAGACTATGTAATAAATATTTTTTGGACTTCAGGTCATACTGGAATCTTAAGGATCGAAAATGCCAATATTGTAGTAAAATCAACTAATTATGTATCGAATAATCCCTCATACATATTTTTTAAAATGCTATTGAGCGAAAACTGTATTCAAACTTTGAAAATAAAATAATAATTTCATGTTCTGTATTAAATTTAATATAGAGCCTTATAAATAAAACCTAAGTGATTTTAAATCGCGTGACTCACAAGCGTCTTTTACTATACGAACCTGCACTTCAGAATTTCAATTGTATCGAACCGCTTACTATTAAATATAATGTTGACTAATAGGTGTAACAAATTTAAAACCCAGAGACAACATTCATGGTTGCTCTAAACCATCGTAATACAAATTAATTGGAACTAATCCGCATGGCCATATTTTTTTCATTCCTCAAAGAAATTTGTTTTCCTTTCATCTATTTAGCTGCTAGCCCATTACCATATCGATATCTAGAAGCCTAGTTGTAAGAGCACTATTACCATAAGCTCTAACTACAATAATTAGCAAACTAATGTAAGTTAATCTTGAGTGAGCCTTACAGAAACCCCAGAAATTAGCAACACATGCGCTCTTTTAAATTCGATATGAAAAGACGATTCTTTCATATAAAGTTCTGATCTTATGTTATGAAAGGAGTGATAAAAAGTGAAAATTCCCCTCGGGGGCTTTTACAACTACCGTGTTCTTTTTTCCTCGTAGCTTTGTATTATCTTTAAAAGATCTTATTCTATTGTTTAGCTGGCATAAATTATTGCGAAATACACGTAGCAAAAATTAAAAGATTATATTAAAAAAAAATTTCCTCATCCTCATTAAAGCCCGTTTAAATCGAGTAGAGAAAGTATATACAATAGGGGGAAAGAAAATGACAGCTCGTTCTTTATATTTATAGCTATATTAGTCTTTAACCCTTTCTTACCTGCACTATTTATGAACTTGTCAATTTTCTTTTCATTGTAATTGAAAGTTTTAAGAAATTAAAAATCATTACTGGAAAGATGGACTTAGTACATAAAAATATGCATTGTGGTCAAGTTTGTATTGCACAGAAGCTGTTCAAAGAAACAAGGAGAAAAAGTTTGAAAAAAATATTTACCTTAGCCATTTTACAATCATCTAACGGTAAATAAGTTAAATTAAAAATTTCTATTTACTTCAATAAATTTTATAAAAAAACGGAATTCCGTCCTAAGTTTGCTATTCAAGAATGAATACAAAATAACTAATTAATATTTTCAAAGCAATGTTAATAACTTTTCGAATCATCACTAAATAATCTCTTTGAAGAATATAAATTTAATCTAACACGTTTTCATTAAGTTACAAAAAATTAAGAAAGAATTATTATTTTTTTTTTTTTAAGTTTGTTGATAAAGTTGTAATGGTAAGCTAGTAATTTAATAAGCTTGACTAGTAATTTTTATAATAAAAAAAGTGGTCAGGGCTATGTTAATCATCGCCCTATCTTGTAAAGGTCGAAATTGACGAGTAAAAAAAAAACGCACTGGAAAAAAATATGTGCCAAAGCGAAAGGAATCTAAATTCACTCAAAACGTTTATGTTCAAAAAGATTTATAGTCTCTTTTAATTAAAAACTCATAACTAAAAGAATACAGGAATTGATCTTTCCCCTATTTCAGACTAAATGGTTATCCCCCCCGATTAATAAAATTTTTAAAAAACTATGTTTTTATAGTTTCGGTGATACTAACTCCAAATCTTTTAATAAAAGTTTGTATTAATTAATAAGGTCATTTTAAAATGAAGTTCATAATTGAATCTATTCATATTTAATGAAAAACGCTTAGTAAATTTAGTGCACGTAAACACAAAACGGACCATTTAGAACACATAAAAAACAAAAACGAATTTTGTGACAATAAAAGTAAGATCACCATATTTGTTTACATGTAAAAATTAAAATTTTTACTCATTGACGACATAATACTTGAAACATTGAGAGGCTAAAATTGGCAAGCGTGCACACATTTTGATGTATTTTATAACTTTTAATTATTAAATTTGAATACATTATTCCTTAATCAATGAAAGTCTAGAAATATTTGTGAATTTTGCACAAGTTTACTGTGTGCACGATTATGAGTGCGTATTATAAATATTTCAGTTCGGTTAAGATTTTTCTGAATGTAGTATGCTTTTGTTTTACTAAGGAATAATTTTAAGTAGTGTTTTTTAAAATTATTCTTCCTTTTGTAATTAGTTTATGTACTTTACTCCTGTTTCTATCTTTAGGGTATAGAGAGCCAATTTCAGACATTGGTCATGTTCTCTCAATAGATAAGGTTTCGTAATTTTATTACTTCCGGAGCTGATATTAAATTTCTATTGGTTTAGATTTTCTTGTGGAATTTCCTTTGGAATTGTAGTTTTTAACATGATTTTCGATTTCTCTTTTTATTAAAAATATTGAATGATTATTTAGGTCTATTAATACACTGGTGGACAAAATTAGGAGATAAGTGTTTTCGCACATTTCTATAACGCTATTTCTGGACGGTTATTGATATAATGGAGGGAACCCGATACCATCCCAGCAACATTATCGAAAGGGACCATTATGCTGGTAGAGGACTCGTGGTTTGGACAGGGATCATGCAAGATACCCGCACACCGCTCCATGTGTTTGACAATGGTTCCGTGAATGCCCAGAGGTACAGGCAGGAGGTCCTAGAGCCCTATGTGCGTCTTTTCAGGGGCGCTGTTGGCCCTGAGTTCATTTTTATGGACGACAATGCGCGACCACATAGGGCTCTCATGGTTGATGAGTATCTGGAAAGCGAGGATATTCAACGAATGGATTGGCCAGCCAAATCCCCTGACCTGAATCCTATTGAACATGCTTGGGATGCTCTTGGGAGAGCTATTGCGATGCGCCAACCTCCCCCCAGAACCATTCTGGAGTTAAAAATTGCTCTGGTGGAAGAATGGGAGGGTCTTCCACAAGTCCTCCTTAACTCCCTTATTAACAGCATGCATATTCGTTGTGCATGCTGTCTATCTGTCAGGGGTGACCATACACCATACTAGAGGCAATACACACTGTACAAGCCTCAATTTATTGTCATCTTTTATCCTCAAGTTCAGACTACTTTGGATTTATTGGCAATAGGTCTTGCCAGTGAATGGCACTTTCATTTTTGTTTTGCATACTTCATTATCATGGAATAAGTTATATCCATACCAAATATCATTTATTTATATTCAACATTTTTTGAGATATTTGGGAAAAGTCTTCCATCTCTTAATTTTGTCGACCAGTGTATTTAATTGTTTTGTATCAACCAAACTAAATTTCATTATTTATTAAAACATGCCTTGTAGTTCTGGAGATAGTCCACAAAATCTGAAAATTCTCCCAAATTTGAACATCAGTGTAGTTAAATAAATAATCAAGAAAGTGAAGTGGCAAGATATTACTTGATCAAGAAATTCATAAGCTACCAAAAATATACAAATTGGAAATAACAGTTGACATGTTTGAAAGCGCTCAAAATCAGGCTCCCTTTTTCAAAACTTGCCAGATGTCAATGAGGAGAAACAAAAATGATTTGAAACAAACATTAAGTTGTGAACTAAAAATAAAAGCCGAAAACAAAACTTAAAAAACCACAGTAGCCGAGAGAGTGAAAAACAGAACAAGTAAAACCATAGTGGCAGGAAGCGAATGAAGTTTTTAAATCAAGTAATATCAGTATAGTTAAATCAGTAAATAGAGAGACATAACAAACAGTATATAAACCCATTTTATTAATTCACAGTTATTCTGAGAATAATATTAAAATGAAATAATGAATTCAAACTATACAAAAAGCAGTTGTTTCGATGATAAAATCTGTATGTTCAAATAAATTTATCCTTCAACAAGGAAACAAGAGCTGAAGTTCCAATTTTATTTTGTCAGGAAGAACAAACAATTGGGTAGTTTCGATCACTCACACAGGCACTGACACAAAAAGGGGATCAACAGGCACACACACACATTCTTCAATAATTTAGAGGACAGGCGGCGGGAGAAATAAAATAAGAACCAGATCTAAAATTATACAGAAATGTGCAAGGACAAAACTTTTCTCGTTATTTTTGATAATAACAATCAAAACTTTTGTGCATCTCCTAACGTGGTGCAATATACTCCTTTTTTTTATTGTTGCAATAAACAATGCTGTACAGAGATGGTAATGAGTGAAAAACAGAAAGCATGATATTCGGAAAAGAAAAACAGTTTCTTTCATTTCTTTTTTTTATAAAACAATAATAGCCAACTCTGCTATGTAAGAGTGCCCTGTGGTAAAATAAATTACAAAAATATTCTCATACAATTAGAATAGATAAAAATTGAAAACTAAATGGGTTTTGCATATATTATTTATACTAATCACATAAGGTATTTTACTAAATGACTTAAAATTTGAATATTTATTTATTTTAACAGTCTCAGGTGTTATAATCAAGTGTTACTTCAATATAATAAGATTTAAAAGCAAATTTTTAAAAAAAAAATAACTTCGACAAACAAAAAAGCCAACCACTGTAGGAATTCTGCTTTTGTAGATCTGACCTGTTCTCAAATGTAACATCAGTGAACAGGTATAACATTATCTCACTTTGCATAAAGTAGTTATTTTTTATGTTGAATATTTTATGCGATTAAAACTGCTTGAATGGCTGTAATAACTTTAATAAACTTGGAAGATTGCTAAACAATTTTTAAGTCATTTAGTAAATTTTACCCACTCACACACAATCTCATAAATTAAAACTTCTCTCACAACAAAAACCAAGTGTGGCTTTATAAAATTTTACCTCTACAAAGTGAAGCTTCTTTTAACAAGGCACCTCGCTAATTTCACTTCAACTTTAATTTTTTTTCAATTTCTAACTCTATAAGTATGTATGTACTAAAATATAAATATATACTCTCTCAAATATCTTCAATCAAACTAAAAACTATTACAGTAGTACATCACTTTAATAACGCTATAAAATTATCACCGTAGTATAACATTAAATTCCCTAACTGTATCACGGGATGTAATGGGATTTTTCATCTCCTGTAAATTCATTCAATACTTTCCGTCTGATGCAACTTTCTTTCTTGCCAATAATAAAATAGTTTTGCTATTTACCATTTAACGAAAACAAATTTGAGTATTAATTCTCTTGATTTGATGATAATGATTTAAAAAAAAAAAAAAAATCAGTGTCCGAATTCTGTCAATTTGGTATTACTTTTTCAACTGAAACAAATTTGTGTCCATATTTCTGTCAATTTGGTATTACTTTTTCAAACAAATTAGTGTCCGAATTCTGTCAATTTGGTATTACTTCAACTGAAACAAATTTGCATCCGAATTTTGTCAATTTGGTATTACTTTTTCAAGTGAAACAAATTTGTGTCCGAATTCTGTCAATTTGGTGTTACTTTTTCAACTGAAACAAATTTGTGTCTGAATTCTGTCAATTTGGTATTACTTTTTCAACTGAAACAAATTAGTGTCCGAATTCCGTCAATTGGGGGTTACTTTTCAATAAAAATGTTTCTATTCTATTTAATGAACAAAAACTAATTTGAGTCTTAATTCTGTCTGTATGATACTCTTTATGCATTAACAAAATTGTTTCGATACTTGGAAGCAGAAATGTTTTACAAAATAGAATTTTGCTTAAATTTTAAGAATTCAATATAAATATAATAATTGGAGTAATAAATTTAAATAAATTTTTAGCAGTAAGATAGACTGAATTGACAAGAAAGGAAGAACATCAGTCAGATAAAGAATACCACCATTCCTTTTTCAATGAAAATAAAAAACCTCAAGTCGCAGCCACTTCATGCTAAAAACCAGAGCTTTATATTGACTTAAGAAGTTCTATTATAAAAATATTTTTTTTCAGAAATTTCCTGCAAACATGCATAAATAATTCTGGTATAGAAATGCGATGGTTAGCTAAGTTTGTTATTTGGCAATTAAATAATCTAGTTTTCTTTGGACCATGAATATATCACGTTATTGGACATTATTTGTATTACAATTAGTTTTTTTAATACCCTCCAAAACGTTCCTTCAAAACAATCACTAAGAGGCACCATCTATGCTGAAATCTATATACTATTATTTGTTATAAAAGTATCATTGCTTAGTAAAGTATGCGCAGTTTAACAGATAAAAGTAATTGCTGGCGCAACATGGAAAATAAATTTATAGCATTTAAGCAGGGAGAGAAATAGTTCCAACTTCATAGAAAATTTAACAAATTTTTCAGGAATTGAGGTCAATATTTTTCTAACAATATATTTTATATTACAATATAACCAAGAGATCATATGACAACGACAAATCATTTTAAGTTAAGCAAAATCACTGCATTTAATAAACAGATATGATAGTTGAAATTCTGTTAAAACAATTCAATGAATGACATGTTAATTACAACATATGAATACAGGATGAGTTCAGAATGCTTAATTTTAACAATTTTATATCTGTTTTTAACAGTTTAAAAATTATTAACACAAATGATTTTTAACAAATTTTCAATCTAATGCAGGAACTTTTTTATACCAATTGTTTATAATTATTCTTTAAAAAAATTACATTATCAACTAAACTAGAGCATAATAGCACAGTAAAATATGCATATAAGTTCTACTCATTTTTAATCAATGTTTAAATGAGATATTAGTTTAAATAATTTGAAATATTTGAATATAACTATTTAAGCTTACAAAAGTTAGTAATTTTACAAAAAATCAAATTTATTTTAAAAATTGCAATAGTTAGGAAATGGATTATTTAAAATATAACTTAAATAAATATATTTCTGAACAATAAAATATTGAGCATTAACTTTAAAATGCATGATTTACATGTGCATATATGTCTAATGTAAGTAGCAGATATATTCAATTAAAACATAATTTATATTACACATAGGAAAATTGGAAGTGAACTATTGATTTTAACAAGTGCAACTTGAGGAATTTATTATTTACAAATACAATTGAAAAATAAGATTAGCATTTAAAAAAATGTGGTCCAAAGTTACAATATTAGTAGTAGTACTTCTAGAAATTATTTTAACACCTTTTTACAAAATAATATTTCATATCCATAAAAATCATTTCAGAAAAGAGCAATGTACATGATTTCATAATCTTCAATCTTTTTAAATACACAAAGGACATTCTATAATTTTTGTTTAAAATTTAATCCTCATTTAGCATATTTACAGTAAAAAAATATTTTCCTGCACAAAAAACTGTTTTCCTACATGTTCTTTAATGAAGATTCACAGAAAAAACTTCATAAAACTTTGCCCAGATAAAAGATCAGTCTGAATTGATCAAATAATTTTGACTAAAAAACTTAGCAATTACCAAATTAAAAAAATATATAGATTTAGCTTTTAACATATTCTGTTAAAATATGATGTTTAGCAATAAAAAAGATTAAAATTTATTCTATTCCATTGCAATCCTCATGCTCTCCATATCTAGGTAGGAAGTCTTTTATATCATAACTAATTAAAAATAAAAATATATTTGAAGAAACAATAAATAAAGCCATTTAATAGTTCCGTTCAAAGCTGTTATCTTAAGTTTAAAATGTAAATGGGAAATCAAAATGTGGTTCGCAAAATACATGGTACAAATAAAATATGTGAGCAAAAATTTATAGAATGCCCTTTGAAAGAAATACTACACAGCAAAATAAAAGCTAAAATGTTGACTTAACTTAAATTTCACCAATCTAGTTACCATTGACACAAGTGTTTTTAATTATCAGCGTTAAAATTAAAAGAATCAGATAACACAGTTTCACATAAAATGTTAGGTATTATATTTATAAATAAGATTTTTTTTTGTATTTTAAGTATGATTAAACATAAAAGTATTATTTTTGCTTTCTAAGAATTAAATAATTCTTATCTCACTCTATAAGAAATAAAAAAAATTACCCCATACAAAAATAATCGACAAATATTTGCAACTCAGCTTGATCTGAAGAATTCTTATTCATTTGGTATGTAGATTAATAATAACACAGTATTAAATAATCATTTGTTTTTTTTCTTCTTTTTTTGTCATATCACTTTATTTGAAGTTATGACCAGAAAAAATAAATTCGATATCACACTAAAAAATAAATATGAAATTTTTTCAACAAAACCGAATTCAAACACCTACAAAATAAAATATAATCTAATTTCAGCAATATATAATTCATTCAGATGTATAAAATCATCACAGCACATGAAGTAATAATTAAGTAATTTTTATCTGCCATTTTCTTTGGGAAAAATCATAGGTTTTTATCTTCACTAATAAAGCTTAAATGAAAGCTACAGTAACAAGATTAAAGTAATTGTCATAATTATGTAACCTCAAATAATATTAATTAGGATTACGTTCATGAGCGTAAATATATAATTCCTAGAAAATAAAATCATTTCTAAAATAAAAAAAAACTAATAAAATTCTTCAAAAATAATGCAAAAAGTTTTCCTGAAAGTAATTTTGCTCAGTGAATATTATGAAAAAAAAATTTATAAACAAAAATGCAACAATTATCCCAAAATATGGTGAGTTTAAACTAGCAAGCAACAATTTTTAACTACTATAAATTCAAGATACAAACTTTATAAATAGTTTGCAGTAAGAAAGTTATTTTCTGCACCATTAGATATCATTCAAGGCATTAGACTATTAGAACAGCCTGTTTAATCTAGTTAAACATTTTAAAATATTTTAGCTAGTTGTATTAAAATTGCTATTTTCCCCACTAGTTACAATTAAGAATTTTTTAAATTAAAATAGTGCAATGAAGAAAACTCAAAATGTTGTAGGTTTTATTTTTAATATTAGGAACATTTAGATTACCAATATTAAGGTTATAAATTATTTTCTAACAATTAAATCCAAGAGCCATGGAACTGATATAATATGAAATTATAAATAGAATTGTGTACAGGTTTGGTGTTATCTATACAATAGTTTTGATAGAATAAAAATTAATAATTCTATAAAAAAGTTTTTTTAAGGTAATTCCATATAATGAAAATTAATAATATCATAGAAGGAGTTATGAGAGAGTTAACGAAAACTGAATTAATTTTGGTTCGTGTGTAACAGGTTAAAACTGAAATTTGTTCAAAAATTAATCCATATTTTTGAAAAATTTATTTTAGATTAGCTAATTTAAAATTATTTTTAATATCAATAACAACTTACTTTAAACTATCCTAAAAACCAATGCTAATTAGGAAATTAAATGAAAATATATGTTTCTAGCTCAGGCTCAAGTTACTAAAAGTTGGTATACACTTTTAAATTACAGATGTATATCAACTTTTGACAATATGCATAGCTGCCAACTTGGATAAGAAAAAAATTCAGGAGATTTTACAAAATTATATAAATTTCATAAGAATTGTTTCATAATGTAATAAATATTTTAAACATAGGGAATTTTATGGTCATCAAAATAAAAAGACTGCAATATTTTCCTGCTATGATTGACAATAAATGAACTTCAAATGTTATGTATGTTTACTCATAATTATGAATAGTAATAGACATTTAATTCATCAAAGATAGTTAAAAGATTTTTTAATTAATTCGAAAGTTCTGAATAAAAGTAATCTGAACATTATAGAACAAAAGAAAGTTTTAAACTGATTTTTATAAATGAGGCTCACTTCATTAAGCATTAGTAATACTTATTTAACTATTCAAGCAAGCTTACTCAAATTTAGGGAAACATACTAAATTTTAGGGAATTTTCTAAAATGTACAAAAACCAATAGACCAGGAGAAACTGGCAAAATCCAGTAGTCTACTTGAAAATTCAGTAGAGTTGGCAGCTATGAATATGGTTTACCAATAATATAGAATATTTTAACAATATGGTATATTTTGCAAACCCACTTTTAATTATCTGGAATTGCTTACTTCAAATAATTATAAATTGTTTTTAACTGGAAGCAGTGTGCTGTTTTAAAAGTACATAAAAATCAAATAATGTTTACTTTACCTGTAGATCATATTTCATATAGGTTACACGTTGCATTTTGTACATTCAATAAATTATATGGAATTAATAATTAAAATAATAGCTCAATCCTCATGTGTTATTTTAGTTCCATGTTTCTATAGAATTTTCGAACCAAATATACAATGGAATGTAAGGCTAATACCGATTTCAATTAAATACATTTTGTCACAGAACAATTCATATTTTTAAAAAAAAAATCACAGCAATAATAGGTAAGCCCAAAGGAAACTATTTTGATACAAAAATATGTTAAAAAAATTTCTTATTTAACAACTCTATATAAGCAAAATTTGGTATAACTTTATTAGTTGTTTGTATGTTAATATGGGTAACATTCTATGCATTAACTACATTTCTTTTAAAATAAATTTTTTGCTAAAACACTTTTTTCGCAATTTTTTTTTATACAAAACGACAGATATAAACTAGATCACAATATATTTCGCTTTCAATAAAATTCTTTCGTCTCATTCTGAACTCAGGTCAAAATCACACTAAAACAAATCATACATACAAATATGCATCTTTGTTTCGAACAAGCCAGGTTCATAATGAACTATGAAATACAATAATTCTATATTTATATATGTGTATATATATTTATATATATATATTTACATTTAAATACATGCATACAAACACATTTTAATTTGCTGTACAAATCTAGGCAAGTCCATTAGCACAAAATAGCTTGTAAACAGATGATTTTGAGGGACTTTTAACATTCACTCGAAGGTGACATGTTTTGAAGTCAGATTATGTCACACAGATAAATAAAGAAAAATATGTCGTGAATGATCTGAGAAAAGAAATTCTTCTGAAGTTTACAAAGGTGCATATTACAACTTATACAGCTTTTTTCCCTTTCATATTTACAAGTAGTTTCAGTTAGTACAAAGCAGGATTTCCTTTTTAAAGTTCCTTTAATAGATTAAAAAGTTTTTAAGGAAAATTAGTGCTTAGCTCTGAAAAGAAAGAAAGAAAAAAAACTCAAAAAAGATTTTTTTTCTTTTTCACTATAGTTTTTGCTCAGGGCAAAAAATAAGTTTGCAAAACTGCCATGAGTTGAAGCACAGCAGGATATTTTACAGTTTATAAACAAGTCGTAGAATTAAATTAAAGAAAATAAAAAAAAAGAAACATTCTCTCCTGGATTAGTTAATGAAACTCAGGAGAGTGGAAAACGGTTCAAGGAGGCTCTGACAGCAATTGTTGTAGCAGTGATTTTTTGGGCTCAGATGGCCTCTGTTCATCAAGTTGAAACTGTAAAAGTAAAACGTCTGGAGTTATAAAATTGCATTTTGAATTTAAAAAAAAAACTATGAGAAAATAAATAGAAAATTAATACATAAATAAAAAATTATGATAATATAAAATATAAATATACAGTCCGACCTATATTTAACGAAGTCAATAAATCTCGATAATAAGTTCGTTACATGGAAAATTCGTTAAATAGAAAATCATCTTTTGAAATACTTAAACGACACAAAACAGGTTTCAAATTCATAAACACTAGACATAATATTAAAATAGTAATGGATACACCTTAATATTGTAAAGTAGTATCTACTATTCATTTTATAAATCTTAATCATAAAAGAATTCTGCATGGAAAGCAAGAATAGAGCAAAACATTATCCAGTGTTACACAATCATGCTATATACATTTTTAACTAAAAAAAAGCTAAATTTATGCAAAAAATTATAGCTGCATTTATTATCATTAATTTTAAACATACATTACATCATGCGTTGTTAAGTTTAATTACTACTGATAAAATCCGTTAATATTGTCGTTTATGTCATTATTGCCGTTAATATTATCATTTGAAACGCAAACAAAAAGAGAAAGTGATTTTACTGCTTTCTTTAAAAAGTTCCTTCAAAATTCAATTTGAGGTTATTTTCTCCATAAAATGTGTTAACAAGTTTAAAATGTTCTGAAAAATTTTGGAAAATAGGGAAAGTGGATCTCAAAGAAAAGTTCACTAAATAGAAGATTCCCCTCTCGAATTTGAAGTTATTTTACGAAGAAATTTTCAAAATGTTCTTGGTTTCCCGAAAAAATTCGCAAAATAGAGAAATTCGCAAAATGGAAGTTTGTTATATAGAAGTCCGACTGTATTTAAAATTGCATTTGACATTTTAATTCCTGTAATTTTAAATCATCTAATTTAATAAAGACTATAAACTGAGCGATAAATTCATCTCATATTACTACTCAATTTACTACAACATTAGGTAGCAGAAAATTTACAGACATTAAATTATTTCACAATCTCTTATATAACACTAAGTATCAAAATTTCTAGCAAGCAATAAACGTCACATGCATTTTCATCTAAAAAACTTATTTTTAACGAAGTTATCCTTTAAGACTTAATATTACATTTTTTAAGTTTTTGTTATAGATAATAAAATTTATTTCTTAGATATTGTAGAAGTTTAAAATTTGAAAGGGAACAATTTTAATTTTGTCTCCTTAAATCTATCGTTTATTTAGAGTGGAAAAAATAAATCTGAAAATTGAAATTGGCACAAAAATAAAGTACATAAATTTAGAAAAGTTAGCATTCATTAAAAAAAAAATGCTTTGTAAATACAAGTTAATTATTATCGATGTTATAATAAAAGAATGACACAGCAATATTGTACTAACCCTAGGACTACCAGTTTGAGGTTGACTTTCATTTACTCCTCCAGCATTAAGAAGAGATTGGGAATAAAGAGCAGGTGAGGTTGGTTGCCCATCTGAAAAAATTAGAATTATAATATAGGAATATAATGTTATAAAAAATACATAAGATTTCCTATTTTGTTTTATTTAATATTCACAATTACATTTGTAAAGCCAGGATAACAAAGTTAATTACACAATATAAATCTGTTTTTAACTGAGAGAAGTGAAAGGAAGTGATAGAGAAACATAGAAGTGGAGTCAAAGATAATGTTTTTATAAATCATATTACTTCTTATAGATATGACAGGAACAATTCTCCCTTATCTGTTATTTCATATAGATTGAGAAAAAAAAAGTAAATCAAAAGTTAAACGAAAATAAAAGCACCTACCAAGGTCAAGGGAAAATCCAAGAGCATCAAAATCAGCTTGACTAAGGGACTGATTTGTTGACTGAGATCCTTGTTGTTGAGGCATTTGTTGTACTAATTGTTGGTGAACCTACAGAAAAAAACCATAAATGTAAATATACATATATATATAATATGAAATATAAACAAACTATTAATTTACAATCATAATTTTCCTTTACCTGGTGCTGTTGATTTCGAGCTCCAACTTTAGCCCTCAATTCTTGGCGGACATATTCAGATCTGTTATTATTACGATTTCTGAAAGCAATAAAAAACATGCTTTGAATTTATTAAAAATATAATTGAAATTAATGTCAAAATAAAGTATCTTCAATTTAAGATCAGTTATTTATTTCAAATTATTTCTTTTCAATTCAATAATTTTTTTTTTTAAAGTTCTTAAAACTTATTCAGCTAATTTACATGAAGTCATTGCTTATATAAGGTTTATATTTAATTTCAGAAATAAAATTTTTTTACTCCAGGTAACTTTCAACAAAATTCTAGACCATTCTTTAGGTATTAACACTAAAAAACACAATCATTTTTATTGTGACAAAAATTGAATACTGTGAGCAACAAAACCTCATTTAACATTGAGTGTGAGAAGTTTAAAAGTATTCAATATTTCAACTACATTTAAAATTAAAATCAGACTGGTCTTCAAAAGAAGAAAAGGTTAACAACTAACCTGTCCATCATAGTTTGAGGATAAACCTGCTGATCGTAAGAGAAGTTATCCAAACTGTAATTGGAAGCAGAAGATACAGACATTGCAGCATTATAATTAGACACAGGAGGATTATAATTTCCAGGTGAAGGCTGAGGAGAAAGAATAGGATCACCTCCCGAAAAACCTGCCGGCAGGCTGCGAGGAGAATTGACTCGATCTGTAAAATAATAAAATAATAATAATGAATTTCTATAATAAAAATTTTCTATATTTCTATAATCAAAGTGAGAAAATAAGCTTTTTTTATTGACTGGGCTTTTAATGGCATAAGCATACCACTAAACTAATTGAAGAAGAGTTAATAAAAGATGCTTACTTGGAATGGAAACTGCTCTTTGAAGTCTCTGTTGAGGTGGCTGGGAAGGTTGCTGAGCTAAGGGTGGGGCTTGTTGTTGATAAAGTGCCACTCCAGGTGAAGGTGGATGGAATGGTGAATCAGGAGGATTGGAATAAGGAGAATTCCTAGAACCAGGACTAGGCATGGAGTGCATGTGAAGTTGACGAGGTTGCTGCTGCTGTTGCTGATTCGTGAATCTTGTTGAATTAGCAAAAGCTTGTTGCTGCTACCAAATAAGAAACACATTTTTAATTTAAATACAAATATAAATCCTTACAATATACTACTGTTATTGCTTCAAAAATTTTATATTTGAGAAAAATTAAATATGACATGTAAACACTTTTTGTTATTTTAAATAGCATGTTCGGATTTAACTATTAATTTGAATTTAACCTCTTTGCTTGAAATTAATGGGATTTAAATTTTAGTTAAATCTTGTTTCTTAAAAAGATCCAGCTCTCTGATAAATATTAACAGTTTTTATAGTGAAAATATTTTTCTTAATCATAAGTGTATTGAAAAATGATAAGTGTGATATAAGAGTGCATAGTTTGATTTTTATAGTTTATCATTTTAAAAACATATATCTATTTCAGTTCTTTGCTTATTTTTCTCTATCAAAACAAATATTTTAAGTAACTGCTATAAGAAAGAATGTGTTGGAGTAAAAAAAGGCTTCTACAGCATTTAATTCATAAGTTACAGTCCTTAAAAATACTTTTATGTTAAACATTTCAAAATTAAGTCATGTTTTTTGGTAGCAAATTTTTCAACTGTATTATAAAAAAGAAAAAAAATATTTTTCCACTCATCTTTTGCTTTTAATGGCTTTTGTTCTTACAATAAAACATTCTGGTAATTTTAAGTTTCTGATATAATAGGGTATATGAAAACGTGAATGCTAATTCAAAATTAATGTAATAATAAAATGGTGAATTTTTCGTTTTTCATTTAAGTAGTAGGGGATTTAATTCAAAATTAGTGAAACACCTTATTTTTTTGTATTTATTGCATGGATAATGATGGATTAAAAATAAGTTAAGAAAAATAATTAACTACAAGATATAGTTTTCATTTTTGTTACGCTAGAACAAATAAAATTGGACAATTTCTACTATATATTAATAATTAAACCACACCTGAGAAAGCTGTGCATTCAACATAGGGTTTTGTTGTTGTAGATTTGCTGGATTTTGTGACGCTCTCTGCACCCAAGCTTGATTTGGAGCACCTTGTGGTTGCACATGAGGGGACAACCGAGATTGTGGATAATTATTGTAACTAGTCTGTGACAGAGGAGGAAATGGTGGCTGCTGGCGTTGACCTGGAGATAGCTGGGATGGACTTGCAGGAGGTGCAATGGAATTGGAAATTTGTTGCACACTAGTATATCTGGGAGAAAGTTGAGGTTCTGGCATACTTGCAGATCTCTGCACACAAAAAAGAAAAAAAATTAATAAAATAAAAAAAATTAAAATTGTATTAGTAAAAAATGAAAAATTATTGCTACGGATAACTGAGGAGTTTTAAGCTAGTAAAGTACCTATACAGCTTTAACTTAGTTAAAGCTAAGGATAGCTTAAGTTAAGCCTACGTATTTTAACTTAGTTTAGTGCCTTAATAGCTTTGTAGTTAAAGCTACGAATAGTTCAGACACTTCAACTTAGTTAAGTATTTAAATAGCTTTAACTTATATAAAGTTGTTAATAGCCTAGGTTAGACTATAGGTGTTTCAAGTTAGTTACTACCTATGTAGCTTTAACTTAGTTAAAGCTAGGGAGATATTGTGTTTTAAGTTAGTTAAGTGCCTAAGTACCTAGTTTTAACTTAGTAAAGTACTTAAGACTATGCGATTTCAAGTGACCGAATTAAATTCTTTGGTTGATTTCTAGTAAAATGCATTATCAAATAAATAAATAAAAAGTAAAACAAAATTTAATACAAAACAAAATAACAGTAATTTCTTCAAAGCTTTAAACAAAAATGAGTGTTAATATTTTATTTTTTTTAAATCATAAGATGAAGCAAGGGTGATACAAATATTATTAGAGAAGTAATAAATAGCAATTTTACCTTAACAAATTATATATCAAAATTTTTATCTACTTTTAAACTACTTTTAACTAAACCAGAAGATGATTAGGTACTTATTATTTATCAAGATTGCTGCATTTATAAACACAAAGCATAATAAAAAATTTTGAGTGTTTTAAGCTGAAATATATTTTAAAGAAATTTCTATATAAGGTAAAAAGTAAAGCCTAAAAAATTTTACGAATTAACTTAACCAAGCGTTATGGGAAGAGAAAAAAAAACGTTGAATTTTTTAAAGTTGTTATTGTAAAAACAATATATGAAAGTAAAAATACCTGAAGGGTAACGTTTGGAGCAACTGTATTGTTAATTAAATCACTAATGTTGTCCGTAAATGGGGCTGATGCAGGGGACTGAATATTGGGAATATTATCTGCCATGCTTTGTCGGTTACTGAGGGCCATCTGTTGCTTTTGTTGCTGTAGCATGAGCCTCTTCTGTTGTTGTTGAAGGTAAAGTTTTTGTTTCTGTGCAAGTTGTTGCCTCATCTGTGTAGTAAAAAACAAATATTAGTTGAACAAATTATTTTTGATAGGAAATATTGAAAATAATGAATAAGTCACAGTTATGTAAAAAAATGACTGGCATTAACTAGCATATACTATGGATCGTCACAAGAAAGTTATACATAAGATAAACTTGAAGAGATGGTATACGGCCTAATACAGTGAATACTCCAATACGCGATTCAAATTTCCTTTACCATAATATTAGGATTATAAAAACTCCTGAAAAAATCAACAGCAATAACTGCCAAAATAAAAATAAACTGATCAAAACACCGCATGGATTTAGTGCAAATTGAGTATGTCAAAAAGTTATTACTAATTATTACCTAGATTTATCAGTAGTTCATTAATTCCAACTGAAGTTACTGTGGAACCGAGTTGCGTTTTTCTCTAACAAATCTGCATTTAAAAGTAGTTTTTGAGCATGAATGAGAATTTAGGAAGAAAAAAAAAAGGGTGTGCTGGTAAGGGCGGAATAAATGTCTCGTTAACAAAATTTTGCCTAAGTAACGAAATTTAAATTTTAGATTAACGAAACTCGAATCTAAAATTTAATTAGCAAAATATAAAGTATTAATGCACGGAAATATGCAAATTAGGGGAGAATCACATGCTGTTTAATATACTATTGTTTTCTAGACTAAACAACTCAAAAACACTAAGTCTAAAAGGAAATAAACACACAAAAAATAAACATCTTGCAAAATGAAACAATATCATTAACTAAAGGCTTTGGCCAAAAAAATAAATTAAAAATAGTAACACAGATATCTTTATTTATGGCCACAATTAATGATTAATTCATAACATAGCTGTTTGTTTTAACAAAATATGCATCTCTACCTTGATACTAAAAAGATATATATCTAAATTATTAAATTACAGAAAACATTGAAAATAAGAAAGACTTAAAATGCAATTGTTGCTTTTTAGAAGATATTAATTGAAGACTTTTAGAAGCAAGGTATTATTTATTACAAAAATAATTAAAATATTTGTCTTTGTTGAAAAGCAACACTTTTGTCTTATTTTTTTTATTAACAAAATATCCATCAGTAGGATAAAAAAAAACTTTTATAAATTATTTTTATTGTTACACTGAATTTTATTTCTTTTAACGGCAACATTACAACAACAAAAAAGTAATTGTTTTTAAAAGAATATATGAAATATTAGACAATGAAATATCATTACCATTTTGAGTAGTAAGCATAAAATTCATCTTAACCAGAATGAATAACAATAGTGAAAATTTAAACTTTTTAGAAAATTATAGTAAGTTGGAGTAAATAAATAACAAATATTTAAAAAAAATATGTTTAGAAAAATCTCTTCTAGGCGACATTTAAAAACCAACAGAGAGAATACATTATTTATTAAAAGAAATAGCATAAAATAATCATGTTATACATACTGGAGAATTTAGGTCATTAACAGAATTCAATCCACTGTACTGCAACAGTGTCTGCCTTTGATTATTCATCTGAATTTGTTGCATTTGCTGCGATGGCATAACATTTAGGGAATTGTTTTGTACTGTATGTAAACCTGGTGCACGTGTCCTAGCATTAGACATTGTATATGCAGGAGGGGCAGTCTGGAACTGGTTGATCTGAGCAAAAGTGCTCACCACAGAAGGTTGCTGTTGCTGGGGAGTCAATCCCATAGGTTGCTGGAACCGAATGTTATTGTTCCTTGGGTTGTGGCCTTCATAACTCATACTCATTAGCTGTTTCTGTATGGCATCAATGGCTAATTTTTCCTGAACATCTTGAACTGGTTTAGGACTAGCTGTGGGAATATTTTGAGGTGGGTCATCCAGGAATTTATACAAGTCCAGTTCGTCAGTAGTGGTCTCGTAATTCATCTCTTGTTCTAAGCTCCAAACCTATAAGATAAAATTTTCTTCTAAATAAGTTATAATAATAAGTGAGTGTAATGACGACACATAATAGAAAAAGTTTTCAACTTTTTCTTACTTTTAAGTTTCCACTCTACTTCAAATAATAAAATAATTCTTGTCTGAAAAACTAGACTTCTAATGGTGAATGTGCATCAATTTTTGACATAAGAAATAAATAGTGCACAAGTTTCAGCAATAATTTAAGTAACTTGCTTGCAAATTCAAACAAAGTATAGTATTCAAACATAGTAATAATTAAGACTGATAGTCATATTTATTATTTAAAAAAAAGCATTAATTTTTGTTTAATTTCTTCTTTGTGTTATGAGAAAGCAATTACAATAGAATTAATTATATACTTGGAGATTAATACAGAATATTGGTATATCTCCAGAAATGAAATAAAATGCCTATTTTCATTTGTTTTCACTTAAAAATATGCATATTTCTGTTACAAAATCAAAAATAACACTAGAGAACAATTTTTTTCGTGTGTGTTTTCTGATGCAAGAGATTTTTTAACAGATCTAAGAAATTTTCCTATCCCAGTTTGTTTGTTTTTCAATGACATTTTTAGTCTATTTTTTGTCAAAATGTACAAGTTTAAAAATGTTACATGTAACAGGGAGTCACATAAATGTTAAAACAAACTTTTAGGAGAGTTAAGGTACATCATTAGGATTAAAATTGTCTAGGAACACATGCTATAAATGTCGTTATATGCCACTAGCCCTGTGGCAGAATCACGGCGACATTGTCGCAGAACATAATAGAGTTCTTTCAGAAAGATTTTTCCTTTGGGAATTTTGCTTTTCTTTTTTGAAAAAATATTTGAAATATTTTATCTTTTCTTCAGAATTAAATTAAGAAGACGCCTTTCTCGTGCATCGGAGCGGGGGAAAAAATGCTTCTGATTTGTCTGTTCTTATTTGAGAATAATGAAAAATAATGAAGTAAAAGATGTGGTTTTTGTTTCTGTAGAAATCATATCTCTATTTCTTCATGCAGTTATTACTACTGATTTCCACATAGCTTTTAAAATCCAATATTTTTAACATATTATTTATTACAACTGAATCTCGAAATTAAATAACGCATTTAGTAACCCCCTTTTGAAGAGTCCGATTTGCGTGATTTCACCGTCGATCTTTTTTTCGGTAGTTACTGCCACAGATATTAAGATTTTTGTTTGATTTTTTTTAAATGTCATGATGAATTACAAAATGTGAAAAGGAAATAATTAGTGTGTTATCTTCCTACAAAATGCGAGAAGATGGTCTATAATATTAAAATTTAAAAAAAATATTTCATATTCAATTAAAATTATTTTATTTGATCTGATTTTTGTTATTTATTATTTTGAAGTTAACGCTTCTGTCACTTTAGATTAGTAACATGCATATTTGTTATTTTTAAGTATCTTGCAGAAAGATATTAGTATTAGAGAGGTATGTCGCAGAAAGCCCGAAAAAATTCTGTCACAGGGGCCACTACGGACTTCTATATTATAACCCCGATGATGTGCCTTAACTGTCCCAGAAGTTCACTACAACATTTACGCTATTTCTTGTTATATATAATGTTGTTAAACTTGTACATTTAGACAAAAAATAGATCAAAAATGTCAAATTAAGAAAAAATCTGTAGCTTTAGGAGCAAAACTAATTTTAGATTTGAAATTCCTACATTTGAATCAGGCAAAATCAAGTAGTTGTATAAATGCAACAAAAAATTTGTTCCCCAGTGTAATTAGCGAATAAAAAATAAAATTTTCACTTACCTGATCAAGAATATCGGATAAATCTGGATCATTTGAATTAATTATTGTTTTAGAGTCTTTACTAGCTTCAGCTATGGTGTTTAAGATCATGTTGGCTGTTTGGATATTAGACTGTTGCTGGGAAGTTGTGGGAAACTGGCTGCCGTAGCCACCTATCTGTAGGTTTATATTTTGCGAATTGAAATTTTGCAACTGCGAAAAACCAGAGTTTGAAGTTTGCGGTGCTAAGGTAACATGGCCACGTGAATCGGCTGTAACAACCTCTTGCTGCAATGAAGTAGACAACAGACTACGAGAGCCAATTTGTACTTGACTGAAACTATATTGGTTATTTGGGGTTGTATCACTTGAAGTTCCTGTATAAGGAGTGTGGACCAGTTTCTTTTCAAGATTCTTTGGCAGTCTTTCTTGTGGTAGTTGTGACACAATTGCATTAGCAATGCTAGTTGGTACAGATGGTGCTGTACGAGGTGTTTGTGCCAGCATTGAAGCCAGCATGGGATTCTGTCCAGCCAGACGAGCCTATAAAAGAAGGGAAAATAAAGGTCATGAACTAACAGATACTCCAAAAAATAAACTAAGTGAAGCTTCTTCATAATTTATCATAGACTAAATTCCAGACTACGGCTCCCCCCAAAATTTTTTTTTAAATGGTAGCTAGTAATAATATTTGATCTCTTTCTAGTCTTTTCTTTTCCAGAGTTGAAATTTCTTTGAATACACGCATGATTAAAATTCAATATTTGTGCAGATAATAAAATATAATATTTTTAAAATAAATAAAAGGAAATAAGAAAATAAAGAAATAAATAATAACTATGTAATGAACAATGTAATTCTAAGGCATTAAACTCTTACAATTTATATGTTTATTGGTCAAAGAGACACAACTTATGCAAAATTTCAGTCAGCCATATCTGAAAAAATCTGCATTAAAATTTTGAAATTCTGAACCTTGGGCAAAGATTGATTGTTAAGGAGAAAAAATGTTTGTAATTATTTTTCAGAAATAAAATTAAATCCAAAATCTATGTAGCTCTCTGATTTTTGAAATAATTATGATACAAAATTTTGAATCACACATTTAATCATTTTAAGCAATCTCCTTTTGACATGCTCAGTTTTATGCTGATTTCATTGTAAATCTATGTGCTTCTTTAATATACTTTCACAACAGTTACTTCTATGGATTTCCATGTACACTTGAATGAGTCGCATATTCGCAGATAACTTTTTGACATGTTTCATTGTGAACCTATGTCGTTTATTAGTTGCTTTATAGACAGCTATTAACTATTTATTTTCTCAAGGATTCCAAATTATAAATTTTAAACAAGGTGTTACGGCAGACAGATTTTGTATTGTGTATTCGAGTTATTATTTTTTGATGCTTTCAAGTAATTTCAATGATTGATTTTTTTTTTTACATTTATTGTATTGAATCACCTTTGACCAACTTTGAAAGTTTTATACAATATAGTTTTGAAAGTTTTATACAATATAGTATTACATTTTTACTTTCATATTATTTTTGCCATTAAAAAAATAGTGTTTAAGAGAAAAATAGGTTCAATAAGGAAATGAATTATTATAACACACTTTTTATTTGACTAAGGGAAGAAAAAAGGATTACTGTTTATTTATTTTCTTTGTTTTTACAAACTTGAAACATAAATAGAAAAAAAAAGACTGGAATTTAATGAGGTTTTCAACACTTTTCTAACTAAAGCTAATGATTTTCAAATAATAATTTATAGTATACCTAACAATTTCTTATATTTTTTTATTAATTTTTAAAAATTCTCCATATTTTATTGATAATAACACTATAAAAACTAACAAAAACATTTAATGCATCTTAAATAAATGCCAGGAACTGCCTATCTGTAGCAATGTGATTCTGAGGTAAGAAAGTTGGTTTTTCAGAACAGGGTTCCGTTCAAGAAAATGTCATATCAATAAGACAATAAAAAAGTGATCAATTTGGAAAAAAGTGACCAAAATAATTTGTACATTAGCTTGAAAAATTTTATCCCAAACACTTTTTAAAACTTAATAACTTCATTCATTTTTTAAAGAAACTCACTATTTCAACTTTTTATTATTCCTAAATTCTGTCAAAAAATCACCAAAAGCAGCAATTAACAGTATATTTTAAAGATAAAAAACACTGTCAATACTCAAACTAAGATGTATCACTTTTTTTTTAAAACTTGCAACTGCATCACTTTTTTAAACTTCTTCTTAACCACAGTAGCAATATTGCAGAAATTAATAAAAAACTATTGAAAATTTTCTAACTTCACTCAACAGGTTACATTACCAAATGGAAAACATTCAAACAACTAATAGTCACCAATAAAGAAGAACAAAAAAGAACCTAACACAATTTAGAGAATACAAAAATAACATATAAAAAAAAAACTTGCACAAAATTTGAAAAGAAAAGATAAGCTATTAAAATGGTAGAATAATTACAATTCAATGAAAATTCATCCCGCCCCATTAGAAAAATTATATAAATAAAAACAACGTACATGAGGATTTTGAGGGACTGGTCGTTTGGCAGCAGATTCATCGATGGGTGTATCGGGGGACTTCCTTTTCATGTTAGAGTCAGCTCCTAATCGTGGTGATGGACACCCTGTCTTGACATCAAGTCTTAAATTAAGATCTCCAGATACCTACAAAAAAGAAAGTATAATATACATTTCTATTCAGAAGAAAATAGAATTTTCTTTTAACTAAGAATTTCACATTGACCTTCATAAAAGTTTAACTAGTATAGCAGTGGGAAGGGAAAATGATGATCACTTGCATAATTTACTTATTTAACAAAACATAAACTTTCAAAATGGCGTATATTTAAAAAAAATTTCTTGAATTTTTGCTCACATAATTTTAAAGAAACCCTGTTTAGTTACATAAAACTGAAAGTTAGTAATAAAAAACTGAAAGTTGGTAAATAAAACTAATTGTTTTTATATCACTCAATAAAAGTGCAAATAAAATTAGTAAATATGCTAACATTCCAAATTTTTTATTTAGGGAATGCTTTGAATTTATTATTTTAATTAATTATTTACTCCAGTTGGAAATTAAAATTTAGACACACTTCTTTTTCTTTTAAAAAAAAAGCTATTTCAAAACAATATAAATATATCTTTTTTTAATAATATGTAAACATAGACCTAAATTAGAAACATAAATATAATTAATTTTGCTATTTAAATAATAATACATGCTTAGTTTACATGAATTAAATATGTAGGTTTTTAATAAGGTATTTAAAGTTAGATTCAAGTTGTTTAGGAAAACATAATTTTTTCAATTTAGTATAAAGATATTAAGCATAAAAAAAAACAAGATTTAAAACAACAAAAAAAAGCTAACTCAGGAAAAACAATTACCTTTTTGAAATAGCTATGATGTTTAATAAAATTAATTAAGCTATCCATAATATTAAATAATAGATAGATATCAAATTGAAAACTACTCTATTCAAACTGAAAACTGATTTTTAGCCTGATGCCAAACACTCAGGATAATACTTTTATTTTTTATACAACTCAACTCTTTACAAAAGATTAACTGAGCTTACAGCTCTGTTATAATCCAACCAATCAGAGTTATATAGAAACATGCTGATGGCAACCTGGCAANTTTAGAGAATACAAAAATAACATATAAAAAAAAAACTTGCACAAAATTTGAAAAGAAAAGATAAGCTATTAAAATGGTAGAATAATTACAATTCAATGAAAATTCATCCCGCCCCATTAGAAAAATTATATAAATAAAAACAACGTACATGAGGATTTTGAGGGACTGGTCGTTTGGCAGCAGATTCATCGATGGGTGTATCGGGGGACTTCCTTTTCATGTTAGAGTCAGCTCCTAATCGTGGTGATGGACACCCTGTCTTGACATCGAGTCTTAAATTAAGATCTCCAGATACCTACAAAAAAGAAATTATAATATATATTACTATTCATAAGGAAACAAAATTCTTTCTTAACTAAGAATTTAACATAGACCTTCATAAAAGTTTAACTAGTATAGCAGTTGCATGGAAAAATTATGAAAACTTGCATAATTTACCTATTTAACAAAAAATAAACTTTCAAAATGGCGTACATTTAAAAAAAATTCCTTGAATTATTGTCCACATAATTTTAAAGAAACCCTTTAGTTAAATAAAACTGAAAGTTCATAATAAAAAACTGAAAGTTAGTAATTAAAACTAATATTTTTATATCACTCAATAAAGTGCAAATAAAATTAGCAATTAATACTAACATTCCCAATTTTTTAGGGAATGCTTTGAATTTTGCTGGGCAGATATTAAGCTCTTATTAGCTTATCATTTTAATTAATTATTTACTCCAGTTGGAAATTTTAAATTTAGACACACTTCTTTTTCTTTTATAAGAAGGCTATTTCAAAACAATATAAATATAAATTTTTTTAATAAAATGTAAACATAAACCTAAATTAGAAGTATAAATATAATTAATTTTGTTATTTAAATAATAATACATGCTTAGTTTACATGAATTAAATATGCAGGTTTTTTAATTAGGGATTTAAATTTATATACAAGTTGTTTAGGAAAACATAATTTTTTCAATTTAGTGTAAAGATATTAAGCATAGAAAAAACAAGATTTAAAATAACAAAAAAAAAGCTAATTCAGGAAAAACAATTACCTTTTTGAAATAGCTATGATGTTTAATAAAATTAATTAAGCTATCCATAATATTAAATAATGGATAGATATCAAATAGAAAACTACTCTATTCAAACTGAAAACTGATTTTTAGCCTGATGCCAAACACTTAGAATAAAACTTTTATTTTTTTACACAACTCAACTCTTTAAAAAAGAGGAACTGAGCTTAGAGCTCTGTTATAATCCAACTAATCAGAGTTATATAGAAACATGCTGATGGCAACCTGGCAAATTGACATTTATTTTTCATTAGTTTATATAATAAATCAAGAACAGAGATAAACCCTTAATTTGAGAAAGATAAACTAAAAACATTACAATAGCCCTTGCTTACAGTAATTTGAGATCTTTTTCAATAATGTAAATACTGCATGTAACAAAAGAATTAAATTGTTAAAAAAAAGTTAATAATTAACAATTTAAAAGTTGACACAGACAATGAAATTTTAATATACATGTTAAAAGTATAGAAACTGAAGAAAAATTATTCAAAATAATTGGTAAATAATTTAATTAAGAAAAATGTAGTTCAACAAAACAAATTAAATATACCTTTTCTTATATTATAGGGATGATTTAGAGTTCTGCTAAGTTATTATGCACAGCCTTTGCACATAAATAAGGGTCAAGTTTAGTGATAAAATATATTGAAAGGCTACACACAATTTTAAAATATTAGTTTAATTAGAGACAGGATATTATTTAGATCATAAATATTTAAGTTATTAATCATGTTAAAGAGGATATTTTTTTAAAAAATTTAATAACAATAAGAATGCTATTATTAACATTAAGAATGATATTTGTTATCATAATCAAAATTTAGACACTGAAATATCTAGTCTAACTCAGGCAAACTAAAAAAACTCTCAACTAAAAAAATATATATTGCAGTAAAACTGAGCAAAAAGATATACATAGTTTTTCTAAATAGCCTAAAGTGGTATAGGCTGAAACCTAAAAAATTGTGAGCTACTTTAAAAATGCTAAATTTATCCAATTAAATGGCAAAACTATGGTGAAGTTTACTAAGAGATAAAATTTTTAATTATGACTTTCCTTAAAGAAAAAAATTAATGTTCATCTTACATTAGTACTGCAGAATTTTATTATATAAAAATCTTTTGATCAAAGCAGTTATTTGTGTTAAGTTATTTATAAACATTTTATAAGCTTTTCATACTTGTAAATAGCTTTTGATAAAATGAGATAGATATTTTCATTTACAGAAAAGTAATGCACTTTATACTAATGATAAGATTTTCTCATTGAATTTATTATTCTAACACTGATTCAAATGATTTGTTTCTATAAATGAATAAAATAAATTACTTTTGGATTTGGTATTGATGAATCATTTAAAAAATATATAAATCATTTAAGTTAAAACAATCCACATTTACATCCTGAGCTTCAAATTGATTTTCCTTTGTAACTCTATTTTTAATTTTTATTCAATTAAGTATTCATTAAGCCCCCATAAACACATTTAAATAATAATAATTATAATGTATAATAAATTTCACCCACTTTTCCTTCTGTCTTCAGAAGTTGTTGAATTAGTACATCTTGATTTTTCTTAAAGCTTTTATCCTCACCATTGTTAAGAAGCTAGTAAAATGAAATACTTTGTAGGTAAATGCAATTTTAAAAAATGGGTAAAATTTATTACCAGATAATTTTATTATAAGATATAGACTTTGATAAATAATAAAATTGGGCAAATTCTATATATTAAAATTAATTCTTTGGGAGCTTTATTTTATAAGATATAGACTTTGATAAATAATAAAATAGGTCAAATTCTATACATCAAAATTAAATTCCTTGGGAAGTATGCTCTAAAATAAAAAAAAATAATCAGCAACAGACATAAAATACAATAAAATATCACAAACAATAAAACTTCAATCATTTTGTTTAATATGATAATGCACATGTATTTTGACTGTTTATATGCATTTAAAACATATATAGGCTACTATATTCAGATTGATTTTGTCTTACTATTGGGTACCAAATTGTTTTGCATTGATTTTTGAACTTTCCTATTATTGTAAAATAAATATGATTGTGTTACTAATGCATAATTTATTAGCATATTTATTGTTATGGACATAGGTTTCGATAACTGCTAAACTCTGTTTGCCTTAAGTGTTGTTCATAGCCTATTAATAAGTTCACATGTGTACCACAATTGCGTATTTCAGAGTAAATATCACATGGATAATTCATCTGCTAATTTATTATTATTATACATCTGAGATATAGCTATTGCTGTGCTTAAAATTAGTGTTAAGCAAAATTTTTTAGTCAGTCTATGTATCAAAAAATGTTTTTCTACAGTAATTGATAAGTATTAAATGTTGCTCGACAATAGTGTTTCTCTTATTGTTAATCATTCAATGTTTATTAGTTTACCTTAATATCATAAAGGTGTCCTTCATTGTAAATATTACTTGTATAATTTATTAGCAAATTTATTTTCATGCATTTGTGCTTCGTTTGTGTTGATTGTGGAATATTTGTTAGTTTATCATTTTCTTTTGTCAAAGTAAGATTTTCATTGATTCTAGCTTTAGACAGGAAGATAGATTTTCATTGATTACAAATTGGTTCCTTAACACATTAAAGCTGGTTTTTTAAAGGCTGTGTATTTATATGAAATAATGCTTATTAGTAAATGATATGCTATTTTTGTAGCTCTTGTGAATTTGTTGAAATATTCATAAATGTTTTGTTTTTTTTAATCATCTAAGGCCAAAGCTTTTGATACTTATTGTGAAATGGCACAATATGGAGAAACCCCAAATTTTATAAGGAGTTTTAATTTCCAATTTTTTGAATTTTTAAGGTTTTACCCATGCTGTATTATTGGGTATTATAAAAAATATGCAAAAGTTGAGAATTATTAATAGATTTTACTGATTTACATTAAAAAAAAATTTTAAAAAATATGCAGTATGATTTTTCACAAGTTCAAATTTGTCAGTAATCCTACAGTCTTACAAAAGTTATAATTTCAAAATTAACATGTGTTTAGCAAAATCTGCATAAATAAGTTTTAATTTTCGAACGAACAAGAAAATTTTATGAAGGAGTAATCTCATTTTTTTTTTTGAAAATCCTTAGATGAATAATTATTTGGTAATGCTGATAATCAGCAATTCTTTTAGTGTGCTGTAAGATTTCTACTACCAGGGATAAGGGCAATGTTAAATAAGCTATCTACAACCAAAAAAATTAAGGAAAAGAAAAAAAAGTATTCATACAGTTGTACTGATTAAAATACTTGCTGGATGCAAAGAAATTAACTAATAATTAAATAAATACTTTTTTTTTCTGCATTATAAAGAACTACTCAAGTGAAAAAATAAAGTTACAACTCAAAAGTCAAAATGTGAGATATGTATAATATGAATTACCAGTAATAAAATTTAAAGGAAAATTGTATAATATTAAAAATTTTGATTGATGAATAGTAAAAATAAAAATGTTTGCGTGGCAATCAATAAAAGAAAATAATTATAATTTTAAATTTAAATGTCATTTTTTTATCTAAAATTTGAACTGTCAATTTCAATAGTGTACTGAGTTCAATAAATTATTAATTGTTTTATTTTAAATAAAATCTATAATAATGCATTACACCTTTTAGATATTTTATTTGATAATTTAGTGTGCAGTAATTAATTAAAAAAACAATTTCTATTTTAAAAAAATGACCAGCATATTTTGTCATACCCCTTATATAAGTTTTCATAGAGTTTCATTACATGAAAAAAAATATCCTCATAGTGTTTTGTTTAAAATCACAGTCAGTTGCATCAGTTTTATGTACTTAGCCCAAAATGCTCGGGAGAAAACTTCTTCAAATTCACATTCTCTGTTTACTATATTTAATTCCAAAATTAATAGAATTTGAATTTACTTCTAAATTTGCCTAAGTATAAAAAGGACAATAAGAAATGTCAGTCAGCTACTTGGCTATCAGTCAGTTATCAATTAGTTGCTATTACTAAAATTATTTATTTTTGGCGCTATATGTTAATTTAACATACTAATATCAATTGCTAAATACTAATAGCTTATTAGCTCTTTTGTGGGATCTAATGTAACTTTTACATAGGTATAGGTAATATCTATTAGTTATCAAGCTTTCATTTATTTTTAAATTATCCAAGAAGTAATTCGAAAGTTCAATTATATTTCAGTGAATTCAACTAAAATAAGTAGAACCTGTGGAGTAAAGTCCTTTTAAAGATGTATTTTTTGGCTATTGTGTAATACAATAAATTTGTTTCACAGTACTTGTTAATTTGTTTCACAAAAATCAGACAGTTGCCGGTTGGAACTTTCTTCCAATAATTAGGAATAATATTTAATCCTGAACAAAAAAATAATCTTTGCAAATACCTTTGAGTAGAAATTTAGTTAATACAGTCAAATTTGTTTACAATGAGCCCTGATTTAACAAACAAACTTAAAATACTTGTCGATACAATTTTATGTTTGTTGGAGTATAGCGAATAACCCTGGTGTTAGTGAGCAATGTTTTTGTGATTCACAAAATTTCTACAAACTTTCACCGCTCCAGCTTAGCTAAACCCTTCTTGAAACAATTCATTCAACAGTTTTGAAGACAACTTCAAGTTTGTATTGCATCATAAATTCAGCAAACATGTGAACTTTTTCAAAGAGCAAAGGTGCGGGTGATAATTTTTTTCAGGCGATGAGAATTGTCCAAAAACAATAATACAAGAAAAACATAATACGACAATTAAATAACCCGTTTAATATTGAATAGAAAACTAAATAAACTAATTATTTTAATTAAAATTTAGTAAATATGCTTGAACTTTTTCAATTTTTTCAGGAATCCAATTTTTCCAAAGCACTCAGTTAAAACAAGCAAATATTGCAGCACCTCCACATTCATCATTAGCGGGTTTAACTCTATTTGATAATTTAAATAGTTGGAGACTTTACTTCACAGCATTCAAATTTTTTCTAGTAAAAGTGTTGAGGATCAATTACTTTATGTTTTTATGGTACTTGCTGTAAACATTTTGAGGTTTTAAAAACCTAGCAAGTTCACAATAGTTGATCTTGCCTGAATAACAAATATTTCACTTTTTAATATTCAAGAATTATTTTAGATATAAACAAGTGACACTGTACATTTAAAAAATTTATATATGCTGTAACCTTTTATTTTTTTTTAAATTTTGGTAGTAGAAAAATTTTTTCAGTTTCTTTCTTTTTCTACCCTTTATGGTTAAACTAGATTTAACTAGAACAGGTTTCAATTAAATTTATTCTCTTAATTTATATCAGCCAAATGCAACTAACACTTGTTTTTTTGTAAAAATATTTTACAAATCAGATCTTAACAAAAAAAGGTTTTTTAAACATGTTTTACTAATGTAGCAATGAAACAATGCTTTAATTTTTATAAATACATTACTGTTCTAAGCACTGGATCCTTGGTAGAAAATTTGAATGAAAAATTAGACAAAGAAAAAAAGATTCTAACATATAAACTGCAATGTTACATAATTCAGATTTTAACATAGGGCTGCACAACCTTTTTGAGCAAAGAGCCACTAGCACAGTAATTTAAGTAATGCAGTGTTGCAAGCAAGCGTGCTTAGACATATTGACAGCAAATGATTAATTTTCATATAAACATTAGTGTTCTAAGCACTAAAGCCTTCTTATTCTTCTAAATCCTTCAAACTTGGAAAAAATGAAATGCATTAAAAAAAATTAAAAAAAGAAAAACTCAAACTTTTATTTCAAAAATATTCCTTTTTTTTTTTAAAAAAAATCAAAAAACAGATCTATCAAAATAAATATAATTATTAATAAAAAGTAATGCTTTTTTCTTATGATATCACATAATACAAAATTTTAATGTAAAATAAATTCTAACAAGTAAAAAACTTGTGATGCACACAGAGTAAAAGTAAATAATTATTTTATTGAGAAATATAATTTTGAATTCAATTTTTTTAGTGAACATTCTCTTTTAAAAAAAAAATAATTAAGCAATAAAAAATTGAAAACAAAATTACTAACATTGAGCAGTTAAAAAATTCGTGAATTCCTCCACTTTTTGAATTTTGCATGCTGCCAAACATACCACATGGATAATAATGTATTAAAATAACAAGATTCCGAACTCTATGTGAAATGATTGATCAATTTTTAAGTTTGTTTACAACCCCATTTTAAATATAGCTTAGTATTATTATGACTTTCTGTCAATATTAAAATATCAAATAACACATAATTTTCTGAAATTATTAATATTATCTAGTTGAATTATTATCTATTTAAGGTAAGCAACACCCATGTTACTTACCTTTCTCAACATGTTGTTGTTATTCATAGTCCTTTTTTGCAGAGGATCATTTGAACCCAGTTCGGGAGAAATATTTAAATTAGAATCACAAGAGGAATTTTTAGCGGCTTCATCTACAATATCCTCATCTTCTTGGTTGAGAAGTTCGCGTAGTATAATATTTTCATTATGCAAAGTCATACCATCCGTTTGATTTCTGGATGGAAATCCATTTTCAGTGTTAACCACTTCCTCCATTTTATCGGAGGAAATGTTTTTAGGAACAGAGGAATCAGCCTCCTCCATACCATGAGTGAGGAGGTTGCGAAGTTTTTGAGTAGCATTGTTACAGTTTTGACTATCACTAATCAAGCCACCTATGGGGCTAAGGTTTGAGAGTTCAGCATTACTGCTCGCAGCAGAATGCTGCTCTTCCCGTTTTATGAGGTTTGGGGCTGGCGAGGAAGTCCTACTAAGAGTTTGTGATGACACAGGACTGTAGGCAAAGTTATTCGAAAAAGGAGTCACTCGGCCAGGGGCTGGACTTCCTGTTGTGCTCAGCTGAGCTGGTGACTGCATCGCTGGGGATCCCCGACCGGAGACAAGCTCTGGACTGAAGGCACTGCCAGAGGGGTGTTGAGTCCGTTGTTGCTGAGCACCAGAGCTGATGCTGCTACTGTTGCTCACGGGAGTGGAAGGAGCACCGAGGGTATTGGGTAAACTTGGAACATCCAAATCCTGTGCATCTCCAGCTCCTAAATCCCAGCTAGAGGATGGTAAAAATTCCATCCCAATGTCATTAAAATTAAAATCTTGAGGACTCATTGAGGAAAATGAATAAGAGTTTCCATTCATAGTGCTACCTAATGAAGGAGCACTAACAGGAGAAGGATTATTTCTTAGGGGTGCTACTGCATTTTCTAAGCAATGATCACTATCCCTTTAAAACAAAGAATAATAATTAGGATAAGAACATAAAAGTTTGGAACATATTGTAATTAAAAAGAAATGTTATTAACACAATGAAAAAAGTTTTTAAATATAAGTTATCCAAAGTATTTTTTTTTAAAATAATCTTCATTCTTTTTTAACATTAAAGTATATTACCATACAATGTAAACATTCAATTTCTGATGTTGAAAACACACATATTTTAATCAAATCAAAAGAGTGTTATTTAAAAACTAGTTTTTTGTTTATAAAAGAATGATACCAAAAGTCAAAAATTAGGAACTCTAGGAATTCAATATTTTTGTGACTAAGAAAATCTTATGCAAATTTTGTAACTAGATCAAAGCATTAAATCTTATAATTACTGTAACTGAAAAAAGAAGTATTACAATGCAAAACAAAGTTTTAAATGAGACTATTCCAATGTTTTTTTTTTCCTTTTAAATATGATATTGTGTTGCGTATCCTTACACAAATAAGTAATTCTTAATCTAGCAAAATTTTTTAAGTGCATCTGCAGCACTATCCTCATAAATAGAAATTTCTCTGCGACCTCAATGCACTTGGACAAACATTACTCGTAAAGAGGTTCAAATAAGGTTCTTTTACTTTACTTTTTGTCCTTGGTTATGTTTTCTAAATTCAACATTTTATTCTTTATTAGAAACAAGTTTAGAGATGTTTTAAAAAGGAATTACAGTAATTTTACCTCAATTGCTTGTTTGCTTTTTAAAAATAAAAACCTGGGAATCAACTTATAAACATTACAAATAGGTATTTGCCAGCTAAATTAAAACATGATGTTCTAATAGACAATATTTTAAAATAAAATCAAAACATTCCTAATGAAAACTTTAGTTTTTGTTTTTAAAAATAATAAGAACATCAAACTTTAATCTAAAAATAACGGGAACATAGTTTTATAATTCATGGAATGTATTTCCTACAGGTACGAAAAATATATATTTAGATTTAGTACAAACCTAAATATAGAAAACAAAATGCAAAAAAGTCCAGGTAATTTATTATTTTAAAAAATTCATAAAAAAAAATTATTTTTAATACTATAAAAAACTATTTACATTATTATATGGTAATAGATATATTTAGTTATACAATACATAAAAAGAAGAAGAAAAAATTATTCATTTAAATTTTTCATGAATAAATTTAAGTTATTTGTTGAATATGCTAAAAATTATGTTAAAAAAAACTGGAATTAACTTATTATTAAGATTGTCAAGTAATTGCATTAGTCCAGTACACAATTACATAATTAGAAATTATTTACAAATTAGTTGGTTGGTTAAAACAAATATAGAAATGGACAAATTTATTTTAAAAAAATATATTAATAATGATAAATACATTGTAAGAATATTAAAACAACTATTATTTTGAATACCTTAAAATTGTATGTGTAGCTATTATAATTTCTTGTTCACTGCTAGCCATGTGGTTGAAATTCACACGCTTGCTTTTTGTTTGAACAAAAACAAATTTTTCGTGAGCTAGTCGAAGTCTATAGATGCCACTGGTGTTGCTGCCTTGCTGGAGGGCTGTAAAAATTGCACCAATATTTGTATAAATTGTAATGTTTTCTGTACTTGATATGAAAAACTAAAGATAAACCATAATAGATATATTTAATTTTAAAAGGACTGCAAGTCCTTGATACGAAAAACTAAGGAAAAATCTTCTTTGGATAATAGATATATATAATTTTAAGAGTCCTCTAATCATTTCTATGAGAAATATCATTTGATTATTTTCAAATTCTGACAGACTACTTTCTAATTTTAAATCTGAAAACTATTAGACACTATTACTATTAGACTTACACTATTAGACAAACTTATAATTATGCTAAAGGAAATATACTAGACTACATAAAATAAGTTAAACTGCACAAAACTCTCTAAAACAAAACTGATTTAATTAGATTTGTGTGCAGCCTAATACAAATTTTATTAGGCTGCACACCAAAATTCAGTTGCATCGCCTTAAAATAAAAAAATTGTGCAACAAAAATAATGATTAGAAAACACATTTATTGAGTAATAAAATATACTCAACATACAAATTTAAGCAAAAACTTTAAAAATTAATTTGTAAGAAACATAAAATATTCAGTGAAATTTAGTTAGTCAATAGATTTAATTACGTCTAGTTTAAAAAGTTCTTCTCAAAATTGATAGCGAGCTTAATTAGGGAAGAGATGAAAGAAGAAAAAAAAGACTAATAATGCAATTATGTGTAGTAACGTACTTTCTTTCAAATGTTGACCAAGTTTCTGAAAATCATCCGGATGACAGAGTTCTTGAATACTACACCCAACAAGATCTTTGTTTAAATATTGACTGTAGGTTGCAGAAACACCACTGAAAAAAAAAATTTTAACTTTAAGGAAGGGAAACACTAAAGAATAAAGGAACAAAATAAATCATTTAACAATGATATTTACCTTGTATCAATGGATATTATCTTTCCCCTAAGATCAAGACGGGTGAGAAACTGTTCGGTTGCGGGAAGATTGCTTTTTTCGTTTGGTGGTAATCTCCTAGCAACACAAACTAAACGATTTTGAATATCTAAAGAAAAAAAATTAAATTAAATAACTCAAGAAATAAAATCAATAAAAAAGTTAAATTCGCAAATTTAATTAGAAAATGGAGAGAAAAAAATATATTAATCATGAAATAGAAAGAAAAAAATTTTGAAAAATTTTCTTGATTTAATTAAACATTATTATTGGTGTTTACTTGATGAAATTGTTAGAGGTTTTGAATAACTGACAAAAGAAATAATAATTTGTATTTCTCATTTGTATTCTTTATTAATACTAAAATATTTTTTATGCTTAACCATGCATATAATGACATTAATTTTATAAATCCTATAACATTTTCATCTAGATTTGTTAAACCCTACTAGAAAAAATATGCTCTATACAAAAATTAAAGGTAAAGACATAAAAGAAAAAAAGGCCACTTCGATGCACCAGGCTAAGGAAAACTATATTTTCTTCTTAGGGGGTAATGAAGAAAGTAAGCACATTGCCTACAGAACATAATTTTGAAAATTTACAGACATACAAATAATAATTTCTCATCGTTTTATAAAATGTTGTTGCAATAATAATAAATTAGTTATTATTATTGCAACATATAAGTTAGTCTAGATTGGAATCAGTACAATACACATACACACACATATATATATAGAATAAAATTAACTAAAATTCAAGTAGTCAAATTCTGAAAAATATGACAGAAATATCAGAGTTGCAGTAATTAGACAGCGATTAAGAATTAAATTTTTTGAAAATATAATGAAGTTGTTACATGAATGAAATTTAAAAACAGGATTTAAAACAAATGTATACCTGCTTCCAAGTCATCTGTCTCTGTCTTTTCTCCAGAGTAAGGTAAAAGTACTGCTGAAATCTGCATATTTTCATACTGTGAAACCCGAGTTTGCTTTTCTTCCATAGTCTCCTCCTGATCCTCAGGAGGTTTAATCAAAAAGCGACAGTTGAAAGATCGGCTTTTACTGACCGATTCATTTGGTTCAGACCAACCGAAACCGTTACCTGTAATATTACAATCTTATTGTAAGTAATTTACAAACTTTGCCTTCTAGTTACAATAGAAATGTTAGGACAATAATAAAACATGATTTTGATAAATTTTTATCTTGAAATAAAGAGAAATGAAAGAATTACACAAATATAAATCTCAAAAAGAAATTCGAAATTGAGGTACATTGCAAGTCCTGATATTAAATATTAATCTTTTCAGGGTTCCCACTCAATTTGCAAAAAAAATTTCCCTGACTTTTCTAGGTATACCAGGTAAATTCTAATGAAAATTGAGACCATATTTTCACCAGAAAACTTTGATTCTTTTATTTGTTATGTGAAATATTAGATTTTTTGTGTAAAAAAATATTATTAAATAAGGATGGAAACATTTCAGTTTAACTAAAACGTGAAATTTTTACAAGAAATAATTGTAATAGATGTAAGAATTATTTAACTTGAATCTAAATAACTGATTACTGTTACTGACAATTTTAAGACTAGTTATTTTCCAGCTTTGATATAGGAATATTCCAGGTTTTTGTAAAAAAATTGTAAATTCCCGGACAATTATAGGTTTTCCCTGTTCTCCCAGCCCAGTGGGAACCCTGCTTTTTTAAGAAAATTGCTTAAATATATTGGCTTAAATGGTATTGTTAAACCTTCTGACTTCTAAAAATTTTCAAGTGATCCTGTGATTTAAAATTTTAGATAAAAATTTAATTTGGGACATCACAACAACATAGTTACACATACATTAATAAAAATAACTCCTTATTATTAATTTAAGCTTCATAACAATAAATTAGTATATGATTAATTGAACAAAAATAATGACAGTAGATAAAGAAAAGACAAATAAAAATTAACCATTAAAGACATCTGTTAGTTAAATTTACAGTAAAATTATTTTTGCATAGTAAAATAAAGAAAAGAAAATCATTATTCTTACCTATAGACATAGGCAACAAGTTGCTACTAAAGCGAGCGTGATCTCCAACGTGAATAATATTATAAATACTCTTGTCAATCAAATTTTCCTATAAATTAAACAAAATTAGTGAACTGGAAAAAAAATTTGCAAAGAATACGAAAAAAATAGCTTAACTGTATATAATTCCATTAGTATATAATTCTATATAGTATGCAAATTATCAAGTCGAAACCTTATAGAATACAGATTTATCCATAGAATATTAAAAACTAAAATTAAATTTGTGCCAACCTACCAGAGTGGAATAAGAACAGAGGAAAAAGAGAACAAGAAAATGAAATAAACTGATAACTTTAGAAACTGATAAATAACAAAAATGGAAAGAAGAAGAAAAAAAAGAACAATAGTATGAAAGAAATGTGGCACCAATCGTCACGACCAATGGCAATTTCTGCTCTTTAATAAGATTGACAAAATAATAAACATAATTTTAATAAGGGTTTTGTTTTAAATATGATTCCACGATAGAAAACTCCACTTTAATAAACTAATTAAGTAAAGCTGATTAAAGAAAGTGCTTAGTTATTTTCAAAATAGTTAATTCATTTTTTCTGCATATTACCTTATGTATTTCTGTTTCTACATTATATTAGTGAATCACACATTTTAATAACTTATGATTTAGTTTGTACTTTAGCCATAAAACTTAGGAATAAATTTAATTCAATAATAATATATTTCAATGATTATCTTGTACTATAGTTTAATGTTACTTATGCTTAAATCTTTAATTAATACCTAAATTTGAAATACTTTAAAGCTAATGTATGGGAGCAATCTGTTTAATTTTAGCCTAAAGAATTCATAAAGTAGTAGAATTAAAATTTAAGACATGCATAATTTTGTTTTATTTCATCACTACTTTAAGACTCACCATAAACTAATCTGAATAAAATAACATGTAATATGAATATTTGAATTACTTAAACGCAATGGTAGGCCATTATTATTAAAGCAAGTATATATATATATAAAAGGTATTCCCACTAAATGGAGCAAGTTGGCATCGCTATCATTTACCTAATTCTAAATTATTCTGGAAATGTATGTTGTTAGTNTAGATTTCTTTTGGCTTGTTCGAGAATACTGTTATATTTTTCTTGAACATCTGAAGAGGATTGTTCATCAAGCGGTATGATCTTTCTTCAAGATCGTGATAACGTGGACGATTTTACCTTTGACCATGCTGCTGATATTCCATATACTGCAATCCAATTACAAATATTGCTTCCAAAAATTTGGTAGTGTTATAACTTCATGAATCAAATTTTTTGAATCTTGAAAATGTTTCTCTTTATATTTTTTGTGTGTCTCCGGAATGAGCACGGATAATCGAGAGTGTACTGTATATATATTGTCTGATATCATAATTTAGTTTTATTTAAAGAAGAAAAAATCAGTTTCCCAGTATATGTCTGATATATTACTTTACAAAAAGCGGGTATTAGTATTGAGCAATTCTGCTAGTTTTTGGAAACTACTGGTCCTTAGGTATTTTAATTAGGACTGATCTGAACCAAGGAAATGCAACAATGTAATTTGATACTTAGAAATATTTTTGCCTGCTTCAGTTATAAAAAAAGAAAAAAGGAAAGAGTTGCGATTGCCTTATTAGGATCACTGGTTACCCATTGGTCAAATGCTTTATTCTTACTGGCTTGACTCCGTTTAAATGCCACATTTCAAATCATGGGTTGCAAAAACTGTCTCAATTGATGTTTGTCGTTGGATAGGTGTTCAAATCCTGCCTATGTACGTGTTTCAAGAAGTCACAAAATAATTTTCCTTTTTCATATTTATATTGAAATCACTGTCAAGCCAGTAATTAAAAGTTAATAGTAAAAAGAATATAAAAATACTTTAAAATTTTTATCTAAATACATTAAAAATGCCTGCTAGTGAAAATAGAAAGAAAAACTGCAGCGGTCGCCATAGCAACGCATGCACATTGTTTACTATTACTCTTGAACACAGTTGAAAAGTGTGATGACGTCCAAATAAGTTGTGCACGCCATCAAACCCAATACCACACCCACTTTGCCAATAGGTAAAAGAAATAATTTTATATGTATACACATAAAGTTTAGCTAGTAATTTGCAAGCGTTTTTTTCTTCTTTCTATTCGGGATAGAGAATTATGTACGTTCCTTGCTAAAGAATATATCATAACTTATTATTGGAGAATTTAACATGCTATAGTGTATGAACAGAATCACTACACAATATTATTTTACATATACATCAACAAATCAGCAGTACACATATACAAGTATTTTATCAGTTATATTGTTATTATTATAATATATTCAAGACTTTTTAAACATAAAAGCCATGAAAAAATAATGACATCTTCAAAAATGAATTCTTACATGTAGCATTGACTGATACACTGGAGCTAAAAGATCAGTGCCGAAAATATTAGGATTGCTAGAAGATACTTCACTTTTTTGAAGGTCATCACTTGAACCGCACTCTTCTGAAACGAAAATACATTAAAAATTTATATATTTTTCAGTGAAAACATTTCAAAAAGCATTATGGAACAAGGGAAAAAATACAAAAACCATTAAAAAAAGTCACTTGCAGGTAAAAACAGACATATTATAATAAATTTTGTCAGAAATGATTTGAATCTTGCACTGTGTCTTCAAGTGTTCTTGAATGTCCTTCAGTGCTGTATTAGTTATGCTCATTTTGAAATCGAAATTATATCAACTAAATCTGAAAAGCAGTTGAATCTCTAAATCAAGAACTCCAATGAGGCAAAAAAAGCAAAACATTTAAAATTGTGTACAAAGGTATATATAGCTGTTTGCATTTATTAAAAATAAAGTTGAGTTTTTACATTCATTTTTTAAATAAAAAATACCACGTTAAAAATTGCAATGAACAACATGAAATTATTGGAGATATTAACAATGAATTTATGTTTTTAAATATTTATATGAGAAATTATCATTAGTACATAAAAAATAAATGTGTAGAGTTATAAATATGTGAATAGATATGCAAATGTTAGAGCAAGACCTGTTTCTTCCATAAGAAAAAAATTTTTTTAACCCTATGAGAGACATTAACCCTATGTTTAAAAAAAATGTAAAAAATTCTAGATTATATTATTTTATTTAGAGAAATAAATGCTTTGCAAAGAAAATTTTACGTGAGAGCATTACTAACATAAAAAACAATTTACATTGTTTACTGGGAAAAATAGGAGCCCAGAGAAAAAATACTGCTTTCAGGTAATGGTTGTATGCTAAAATTTATCAGTCTCATTAATAAAAAGGAACATACCTAATTTAATTTGACGGAGTTGGCTGACTGTTTCCTGTAATATGGCACACTTATTACTGCTGTTGATGGAGAGGGAGCACATGTCAGATGCGCTAGCAGAAAAGAAGCCTGCTAGCTCTTCTAGGTAGTCATTGGCAGACTCCCTACGGCGTTTTTCATTAAGGCACTTGTTGCTGAAAAGATAGTAATTTATTATAAAGGTTTAATTTATTCTGATTAAGAATAGATACGACATCAAAACATTAATCATTTGAGGAATTTTTTGCTTGGCAATAGTCAAATTTTTTTCTGATATGAGTTTAGTTTGGTGAGTTAAAAAATTTCTTAAATAATTTAACATTAACTCTTGCAATTGATAAGTTGTCACAGCTGAAAAGGTTATTTATCATAAGAAAATAAAATAAATTACAATATTATTTACAAATCATAAAAGATTCCTGGTTGCAGATATACCTTAAATTTTAAAGACAAGAATATAAGTCTGTCCAAAAAATAGGTATGTTTATTTTGAGAAAGCAAGTTTTTTAAATTAATTTTTTGTAATTTAAAATAATGTCTACACTAACTAATTAACATATATTGAAGTTCAAAAATTATTCTGGGTGTTAACCTTTAAATTCTGTGCACTGAACTTTTTAAAATTTGAGTTAGTACAGGATGTGAAAACTGAGAAATGGTAAAACAGTCAACCAGGAAAAATTTATATCAGGAAAACCTCAAATGACATACACAGCATTCTCAGATTTTATTAAGTAAACAATAACAGAATAATTAGTTCATAAGACTTTCATTTGCCATACATATTCCACTAAAGAGTTAGAAAACCTGCCAGAAATTATAGGTACCTATTGGGTACAAAATATAAAGTAATATTATTAATAATATTATATTATCACAATTATTCTATATTATAGGTACTACTGTACTGATATTGTGTACTACAATATTATCAGGGGTCTGTCTAGGTTTTTCTGAGAGGTACCTATTTTGTGAAAATTTAGACACAATATGTGAAAAATTAAAAATGATATTAAAAAATCAACACAAAAACATAGTAAAAATATAGATTTATCGTTTCTTAAGGATACAAAAATAAAATTTTAAGAAAAAGTACTTTGTAAAACTACCGTTTTTCCTAAAGTTGAATTTGTGAAACTACCAAATTTGTGATTAATTTGAATTTGAATAAAAACTGAATTTGTGAAGGTACCGCTAAACGGTAGTAAATTCAACGTGGACAGACCCCTGATTATCATATTATTATAGGTACATATTAAGATAATATCTAGTCTTANAGTATGATTTGATATAATCATGTTGGGAAAATGCAAAAATCTGTTCTTAAATATCTTTTAGCAACTTTTTTTCTAATTTTATTGCCCAAAAATGAATTAATTTTAAATCATAAGCAGTTAAACTTAAATTAAAATGCAGTTTTCTCAAAACTATGGGTTTTTGACATTTTTGACAGAGGGGTTTTTGACATGACGGTAAAAACCATGGTATAAACCGGTAAAAACCGTCATGTGTCAAAAACTTGCCAACCCTGATTTTGAGAAAGTAAGTTTTTAAAATTAATTTTTTGTAATTTAAAATAATGTCTACACTAACTAATTAACATATATTTAAAGTTCAAAAATTATTCTGGGTGTTAACCTTTAAATTCTGTGCACTGAACTTTTTAAAATTTGAGTTAGTACAGGATGTGAAAATTGAGAAATTGTAAAACAGTCAACCAGGAAAAATTTATATCAGGAAAACCTCAACTGACATACACAGCATTCTCATATTTTATTAAGTAAACAATAACAGAATAATTAGCATAAGACTTTCATTCGCCATACATATTCCACTAAAGAGTTAGAAAACTTGCCAGAAATTATAGGTACTTATTGGGTATATAATATAAAGTAATATTATTAATAATATTATATTATCACAATTATTATATATTATAGGCACTACTGATATTGTGTACTACAAAATTATCATATTATTATAGGTACACATTAAGATAATATCTAGTCTTAATAAAGGCTTAGATTTTATCGAAATTATATCACTAATTTTTTTGGATATATACTTACAGTTGAAATTGTAGTTTGAGGTCAGCCTCTTCAATCCTTTCCAAATTAACATTGGGCGATATATTCATTTCAAGTCAAAATACCTAAATAAAACTTCATTGGCTGGGCCTGTTGATAGAATAAAAAATATGTATTAATTAAAGCGTGAAATTTCTAAAAATATGACAAAAAATTTGTATTTATAAATAAAAAGAAAGCTATTACTGTCACTAGTGATGCTCACTTAATTGTGGCAATAGATACAACTGATATTGTGGTAAATAGGTTTTTTCCACCCTCACCAAATAAATAAGCAGGGCTGTGATTAAGGGATATGAAATGAGAACTCACTCAGGACATAACAAACTGATAATTAATAACTAGACAGTTAATAATATTCTAAATAATAATTTTTATACGTTTATTTTAAAGTTATAATATGTTTTTCGTTGTATCAGAGTTACAGAATTGTAATTTGTTTACCTTCCTTTATTAATTTATTTCATTCAAAACTATATGTAAATGCAGTGCATATATTTAAGTTTACCCTGGACCGTAAAACCCAAGACACACCACTTTAACCCATTTTAGGCCAACGATAAGAGTTTTCATAAAATGTATTATTTTCATCAAAATATACTTAAATCATATTCATTAATTCACTAATACAATAAAAAAAGAAGTTCGGGGTAGGAAAAAAATTTTACTTAAGAAATAAAATGCTGTGTACATTGCATCATTGGCCAAATCAATATAAAAATCTTTCAGTTGAACACTAGTTTAAGACATATGTTTTATTTTTATTTTATTTACAGTACTTGAAACTTTAATCCTTCATAAAAATATATGATTTTTCTCAAATGGAATATTTTCAAAAAGTCGAATTTGTCAGTAACTGTTTCAAGTTCAAAAAACTTTCTTAACAGGAAGAGTTTACTAGAATTGAACTATTAATTATTAATATTTTACAGACATCTTCTGAACCCTTAATAGTAGAAAAATAAAATAAGTGAAAAATAAACGACACAGTGTTAACAAGAAAAATATATATCAAGAGAAATGGTGCATCTAAGCACCTTCGGCCAAAAATGGGTCAAATAAAAATGCTATGCAAGATTTCCGTCATTAGAGGTTTTTTTAATTTCATAATTTATTTTTAAAACTTACAATGGCGTTTCAAAAACTAAAATGAAGGGTGATTTGAAGTTGACTAGATACATTTCTTAACATATCCTTTTTAAATTATTCATCCCATCTCTAGGTTTGCAAAAATAAACAAATGCAAACAATTTCCACTTTAGGGCCCTTAAGTCATTCAATTCTTTAACTGCTGATCCCAAAACTGATATTAAAATAATAAAATGTATAATAATGCTCAGTTAACATAAAAATAAATTGATGGGTTCACCACTTAAAATCTATTTGCATTCTATTTAACAAATATCAGATTTAATTACCAACATTTTAATATTAAATATATCTTAAAACGTAATATTGGTATGCACATTGCAAAATATAAAATTGAGATTATGGTGTTAAAAAAACATATCAATCAAACTATTATTATTAAGTTTTTGTTTTACACCATGGAAAAATTATTTTTAAAGAAATATTTTTTCACAAGAATTTTTAACACAATAGGATCAATAACATAATACATTCATTCATACTAAGCAAAGTTTGCAAAATCATAATTTTTTTAAAAAATAATTAGATAAAATCAGATTTTTTTTTTAATTTTAAGAATAACTTTTTTTGATTTAAATCAGATTTCTTAAAACTTTTTTTGACATTTAATAATTACAGCTCTAAAAAATGTACCTATTTTATCGTCAAATGTAGTTTATATACATCCCCTATCATTATTCGATTAGATGAAACCTTAAAAGTGGATTTAAATCGATATTTAAAAAATAAAAAAATTTAAGTGGTTAAAATGATGCCAACTCTGACACTAACTACTTTAATCGAGGAAAATGAAAGCAATACAAATGATAAGTTCATAAAACATAAGAATTACAAAAAGTTTATTAACTGTTAAAACAAAGAGATGTAACACACAGCCTTTTATCTACACAATCTGAACTATAACAATTAAGCTTCAAAATTCGGAGGAAGTGATAATACCTATCACCTTTTTTTCACACACAAATTTTTTATTTATTTATTTTTGTTGAACATTAGGAAAAAGTTTACTAGTACAGTATTTTAATAGGACTCTTCTTATAACACACTTCGCCTGTTAAACATCATCTTAGTCAAAAACCTGCATCTGTTAATATCACTTAAGTTTAAGTTGCATGCATTCTACAATTCTTTAAAACACTAAAGCGATTAAAAAGGTTGAGCAGTCAGAAAGGGAATGACATAGTTAGAATGGACACATGGCACTGGGTACCAAATTCATGTTTATAAATACACTAAAGCCAAACATAATTAAACAATGAATTTAGAAATAAAATGTATAATAAATGAAATTTCCTATTTGATATACTATTATTTTTCTGAAACTCTCTTTTATTGTCAATATTGTAAGTGAATAAAAATACCCTTATAACTTTTTTGCGGCAAATCTTGCTTCTGGACAGAGAATTTAACAAATGAACTTAGATTTTTTGCTGTCAGGTTTAAAATTCCAAAAAAAGTTTTTTATGAAGCTTATACATGCAAGAATGGTATGGGTTTTCCTTTACAACAAGCTGAGAAAAATCCATATAAATTGATCCACTGGTTTGCTAGATTAAAATATATAAAATACTATTAAATACTTAGAATCTACATTTAGAATCTAAGGGAAGCTTATTTCATAAGTAAAGCGTAATTTTAAAAGTGTGATATTTGTATAATTTTCATAAAATAATCTTTAAGCATTTTTTAAATAAGTATTATAATTCCTTGCTTATATCTGTCATTTAAATATATCTAAAATAAATTATAAACTGCCTTAAATATATCTTTGAAGCATTAATTGCTTATTAGTTTTAAAGCACAAAATCATACCTGACAGTTCTGTTTATAGGTAAAAACAATTTAAAAAAGACCCTGATATTATGAGACAGATTTGTCCCTAGCACTGTAAACTTTAGCTATGCCCCTGCAGAAAGGTCAGTTCTTTATGTGAAAAAGGTTTAAAGGAAAAACAAATTACAGGAAGAAAAAAATTAAGTCTAACTTACAGGTTGCAACATTTTTGCAAAACTAATGAGAAATAAGCTATCTTTAGATACCATTCATAGTTAGTGCTGATTAAGGCTCTCATTGCAAACATTATCATAAAAGATAAGGATCATAATTTTTACATTCCATTGCATAATTGCAAAGGGAAATGTGTTTAAAAACGAGTAAGGAATAATAGTGAACATTACAATTTGTTGTAAATGAAAAGCTTTATTTTTTATATACAAAGTTATAAATACAATCAGATGAAAATTGATTTATGTAATTCGATTGAATATTTAATTTTATATTGTAGAAAAGTGCGACGAGCTCTCCGCGTCAGCTTAGAGCTCTGTAAAAAATGATTAATTAATTAATCGAATTGTTTACTAAACTATTAGCAAAAATAGAGTTGAGAAGTTATATTGCTGTTGATGTAATATTTTTCGTTGTGAAGCAAATAGCAGACATTTAAATAAAATGCATTCGAAATTAATCACGTGATCTTGTCATTAAAGCAAAATAAACTCAATGATAAAAAAAGGAAGTTGAGGAATATTAATACAAGTTGCAAATTACCTTGGCTTGTTTGGCGAATTTATCAATTAATTCGATACGTCAGTTTTTTTAAATAATGTAATTTTAACTATAAAATAATAAATTGCGTAACATAAATACTAAGCAAACAAATCTAATTATATTTACAGGACAAATCACAACATAAACATTCCATAACAAATCACATTTCTAACGAAACAAAATGTAACAATTAAATATCTGATTTTTGTGTTCAGATAAGTATTTCACAAAGAAATTGAATCTAATTTATGAATGCTAAAACTTAGCAAAAACTTATTTTTTTCACGTAAATTCATTTCATTCTAGCCGCAGAGAATGACCCGAGAAATGTCGACGTCACGGATGGGGACGTGCCATTGGCGCGAGATCTACATGTACGTCGACGATACCACTACACTAAAAAATCATATTAATTATTTCCAATAAAACTAACTAAGTTTATCAGCACTTTGTATCATGGTAGGCTTTAATAACACTATTAGATAAAGCGATTTCAATTTCTCACCTAAAATAGGCCCAGCACTCCTCGAAAACATCATTTCAAAGCACCGATTCAGCGCAGCGGTTCCGACCCATTCTGGGACTAAACACAAACACACCGCGATTGAATCGTCGCTGACGAGGGACGATGTAGAAAAAAACAAAACATTCACCCAACATCCGGGCTAGTGTAGTCCTGCATTTTCAGAGTGTATTAATCCAAAGTGTTTTTGAGTTTATATTTCAATAGAGCACAGTTTATAAACTTAGGAAATAATTTTATTGCGAAATAGCACACGAAATTTTGACGATACAGAAACAAGACTGAACTGAAACCATCCAAGAGGTGAATTCCGACTGCGTCTGCGCGAGGAACGACACATCGTTCCTTGCGGTAGCGGCGATCACGTGGTTTCCTTACAGGTGCTCTGTGAGCTAGCTTGGTGCGGCAGAGGCAGAGAGGTGACTGGCCGAACGTTGCGATGTCACTTTTCTCCTGCGCATTTTTTTCTCGAAAAGTATTCAAAATTTATAAGTTCTACTGATCTCGATATCTAGAGTTCGAAATTTTTAATTTTTTTTATAAAAATAATTAGGTTAGCAGAAACTATCATATTTTCTGAACATTTATTACAAATAAATTGGTAGTAAACATTGTAACAGCAAATTTGTTAAAATGTTTAAAATTTAGTAGTACTAAACTTGACACAAGGCCGTTGAACTTGTCTGTTACGTTATTACTCGAAGTTGTGCGCATTACTTAGTGTTTTCACCCCAAAAATTCTTAGCAGAAATGGTCGATTCGTGAAAATAAAACGTTGAAGTATAAAGATATTATCAACAATATACTTTTATATTTATTAATAATTACGCGTGAATATTAAAGATAAAAATAAAATAAAAAATTTATTAGTAATCACACAATCACTAATTTTCACTTTAAAATTTCAAATCATATCGAGGCATTTCTTATTTTTGTATATCAACTTAATTGTTATTAATATATTCTTATTTAAGCTTACCTATCTCATTAATATAAAACAGTAATGACTGAAGACAAGGGGCTCTAAAAATTCAGCCGTTAATGGTGACATTTTATTCAGAAATTTGAAAAAAGTAATCTAACACTTGTGGTCATTTTAAAATGTATGAAAAATAACGGTTCTAAATCAAATTTCGTAAAAGTAAGTGCTTTATTAGAATTCAAATCTTTTTTTTTTTAATAAGAAATTTTTTATAAGAGGAAGAAAAAAAGATTTTTTTCCCCAGCTTTCTCCGGCATCTCTCTTATATCAATAAAAGCTTCAAAAAGAGAACATGCAGAGTTTCTTATGATACTGTAGTCAGCTTACACTTCATTTGAAAGAATCATTTACCGATGAAGTCTCATTTATAGCTGATATTTTCTTCAATTGATTTGGATATTTTGTTTAATTAATTTATAAAGTGTTAATTATTATTAAATCTGTACAAAACGATACCCGTATAGTACCTGCGAATCTATAAATATTAAATTTTTTTGCCTACTGAAATCTGCGTAATTTTAAGCGTATAAAATTAGAAGCGTCAAGGAAAAGAATTTTACTTAATAAATAGTCTCTGCGAGTAACACTTAACAAATTACTATTGCATTAATGACTGAATTTACAGAATGAATTTTGATTGAAAAACGGATTTCTAGAAGATAACTCGATTACCGATATTTCAACTCCATTAAATAATTTAAAATTTATCGTAAAAAAAAAAGGTGAATACACAGAAACTTAGAGTAAAGTATAAAGTTTCAAATGCTGAAAGAATGTTTTCAAAATATCATTACCATTAAATTCAAAATAATTTCTAAAATTGAATAAGGTGAATATCGAAAAATTATAAAACTACCTGTAAACATTACTATGTTTTACATCACATCAGAATTACTAAAAAGCGTGAGCGCTATTATAACATTAAAGGTGCCGATAAATATAAAAGAGAAATAGTTGGGTAAAAAAAAAATTCGGAAGTAATTCTTACAACGCATTAATTAAAAAAATTGATTCGAACAAAATAAAATAACCTATGCGAAAAAGGATTCTGAATACTAAGGACATGCTGGGATAGCCTGGTTGGAAGGGTGCTGGACAAACATTTGTGAGAACGGGAGTTCGAATCCAGATGGCCGTAGTAAAATGGTGACTGGTGCGCGTTAAATTTGCCAGGTCACAAAGTCCTCCACGTTCCCATAACAATTCAATACCTCTGGGGTTCTGAATTGGAGATTGATCGTTCTCTGGTTCAGGTCAAAATTACGATCTGTGGATGCATGATTGGGCTGGCCCTATAAACGAGTGTGACGTATGGGTGTGTCAGAAGTTGAATTCTTGGCAATAGATGGCGCTACTGGAAAACAAGAAAAATCACACCCCCTCTGCCTTAATAGCGGACGACAACAACAATACCAAGGACAATTAATTATGGACGCGTTTCAGCAAGGAAATAAATAAATAAAACTCTACATAACGCGGTTTTGAAAAGTAAAATCAAACACTTAATACAAAAATTAGGAAAATTAAAAAAATACAAAAGTTATTTAAACATAATAGAGAAAGAAGGCTATCTGTATCGATGAATTAAGAGAAAAATATAATATTCTGGAATATCGTGATCTATGGTTGCATGGCATGTTATCGTGTTGGTTGCAAACTTTATTGTATGACTTAAGAAAAGTATCGAAGTAATGCTTCAGTCAAAGGATGGGAGGTTAATGTGTAATGGTTTGCAAGCCCCTTAATTGTTATTGATTGTGCAATTTACAAAGAACTCGGAACAATACGATGCTTTATGACCATCTGATACTGTTTGGGCTCTTATTAAATGGTACTAATTGTATCTTTCAGCAGGATAATGCTTCTGACCATACATCTAAATCCCCACAGGAATAGTTTAAAAAAGAAAAAGTTACTGATTAATTAGGCCAAAGTAAAGCTCAGACCTGAACCTTGTGGAAAATCTTCTGGTTTAATTTTGTCCCTGCTACTTTTAAACAGTTTTCATCTACCAATGAGTTAGATGTAAATATTGTAAAAATATGATAAAATATTTCTGAAACTGAATGTAACCACCAGGTTATTTCAATGATAAATAGAATGTTTCAGGTGCTGCGCATAATTTGAGGACCAATATACATATACTTTTATAGTTTTACTGTTTTTAGAGTAGGCTTGCACTTTGTTAACATTGGTTTTAGGGGTATTTTAATTTTTATTTATTTATTATGATTTGATCATTTATTGTATAATTCCAAAATTATGAAATTTATGTATACAGGTTGACAAAAAATAACTTGAACAGACATACATTTTAACTTAAATACTTATTAAAATAAAACAACTAAATTTTAAAAAACATAAAAATGTTAATACTTTATTTGGAAAAATTATTAGAGTGACTACTTATACTCTTAATGAAAAGCTGTAAACGTGTCAAAAGAAAACATCAAAAAATAATAATAATAATAATAGTAAATAAATAAATTCTAATGAAGTTCGTTACTTATCGTCTAGCATTTTGCCCCACTCCCTACACGAGAATTTTTTAAGGAAGCCTAATTCTTATGAAGTTTAGCACAAACCAATGCCTCTAAGATGGATTAAATGGAAGTTCAATTGGGTTAAAATCTGTGGATTAAAATGACCATTTTTTAGCAGTAATGAAGTCAGTAAAATGTTTACTTGCACCATTTTCGAGTGTCTTATCTCTGTGTTATAGCAGTCTGATGAATAATATAAAAATTTTATATACATGATTAGATGCATGCATAGATATCAACAGTTTATATAAAAGTGGTTTCAACTTAACTAAACTTTTATGATGTAAAAGAAAAATTTTCCTATAAAGTTGCCAACTTTGCCTATAAAGTTGAAGTCTGGTGATCTGGCTGATTCGGTTACAATCTTATCTTTTTTTAAAATTTGAGACAAAATTAGATTTTTTTTTTTTTTTTTTTTTTNTTTTTTTTTTTTTTTTTTTTTTTTTTTTTTTTTTTTTTTTTTTTTTTTTTTTAATAACCGTCATCATTGAACAGCAGACCCAATTTTGGGTTTACGATTATTAATGTTCAACACCGTAGCCTTGTAATTTTCAACCCAATTCAAAAGACAACGGAACTCCTGGATCAAGTATTGGGAGATATTTGCCTTCGTGGAGGACTTTTTGATGGGACTAACCCGCATTTGCGTTTCATGGAGAGGAAGACCACGAGAACCTCCCACGGTTAGCCTGGCGGCAAAGGGACTCTAACCCATGATCCGTCTACCACTGAGGATATTTCACGTCAGCACTGTGGTCGGCGCAAGGTGAATGCGGAATTCGTATCGACCAGACATTGCCGGGATCGAACCCCGGTTCACCTCATTGGAAGATTAGCCTTTAATGGTAGCGCGCTGTCTCTGGTTAAAATAAAAGCAGGTCCGCAAAGTGCTCATTTGATGTAAGATTTTTTGGGTATTGAATTCGGCAGACAGATTCTTAGTCTTATAGAGTACACCTAGGAGTATATCTGAAATGTTTTTGAGAGGCTTGGCGTGGCTACCACTACAACTATTCAATTCCAATTCACTAGTATATAAGACATGTTAACTAGATTCTAAGTCAGGGTACCATTTCATAGATTAAGGCTGACATTGTCGATAACAAACGCTCCACATTGGTGACCCGGAAACACGCCTATCACGACAGACACGCCCATTTAGATTTGAACATTAGATTTAACAGATGGTCCACATTGAACAGCTGACTAGCCATTTGTGACTACAACATTGTCCTCATCACGTTGTTTCTACTCAGTCTCGATCACACACAAAGTCGGCATTTATACACTCGACTGCTAATGGCAACACAGAAGCGACCACGACCGTGAACTTAATACAGCTCTCACGTTCAGCACTAAAAAACTAATGATCTTAATCCAGCTCTCTCGGCTTCTCACAAAACAACAAGGAATAAACGAATTCTGAAACTTTTAATTCCTCAACTCCCTCCTGCAATCCTAACACCTTAATTAGTTTTAAGCAATATATTAACCACATTTTTCCACCGTCTAGCTGTTGCCCGATAGTTGTCGTTTGATTTCAGTTTTAACTATTTTCAAGAGATGTCCATGATATTGTCAATGTTCTTTGAACATTGAATTTTAGAAATAATTTAAAATCTACCCGGCAGCCATGAAATCACACAAATAAAAATAACTTCATTACTAAGTTTTATTTCTATGAAAATATAAAATTATAATAAATAAATACATAATGCATAATTCAACATTACATTACATAATTCAACATTACTTAAATTATTTCTTAAGGCAACCTAACAAAATAAGTCTAAATAAATACTTAAAGTATAACTAATTTC